TTCCGGCCTTTCTTCAGAAGATTATTAAGAGGTGCTAAATACTCCGCCATTTCCGGCACGAACCGACGGTAATAGTTGAGTGTTCCCAATAATCTGCGGATCCCTTTTACATCCCTGGGCATCGCCATATTTTGTATCGCCTCGACTTTCTGTTTATCGGGCCTGATCCCCTCCTTTGAAATGGAATGTCCCAGAAATGTTATCTGATCCTGTCCCAGAATCGATTTTTCCGCCGACAACTTCAGCCCAAACTGTCTTAATCTGTCGAATACGCGCCCTAAATGATCGACGTGCTCCTCCTCATCCTTACTGAAGACTAAGAGATCATCCATGTAGACTTGACAGAATTCTTCGTCTAATCCTCTCAAGAATTCGTCCATAAACCTCTGGAAAGTTATGGGAGCGTTCTTTAGTCCAAATGGCATGCGAGTAAACTCGTAATGCCCCCTCTCGAACGAAAACGCCGTTTTGTGTTGGTCCCTAGGGTTCATACGAATTTGGTGGTAGCCCGCCTTTAAATCCAAGGTACTAAAAATGGTTGCCCCACTAAGCCTGTCAATAATATCATCGAATCGCGGAAGCGGATACTTCTCGTCTAGGGTGTTGTCATTGAGCTTTCTGAAGTCTACCACCACCCTGTACTTCTGCTCTCCCGACGCCGTCCTTTTCTTCACCGCCCACAGGGGACTATTGTATGGTGACGTGCTGTCCACGATGATGCCCTGCTTCTTCAAGCTTTCGAGCTCCTCCTTGATATGGCGACGTAAAGCCTGCGGGTAACGTCGCTCCTTCACGTACGTCACCTTTTCCTGTTTTAACGGGATCTCATGTGCTGTCCTCCCAGTTGCGCTCAACACCTCCCCCTCTTTAAAAAAAATATCCGCGTATTCCCTCTTTATCCTTTGGACCCAATGTTCCGCTTGTTCTATTGCCCCAATGTTCCCTTTTCCTCCCACTCTCCCTTTCTTACACCGGTACCTCTTTCCTCCCATTCGTACCCTCCAACCTGTTCCCCTGTAGTTTATTCGTGGTCTCACTCTACTCAATAGGTCACATCCGATTATACCCCCATATTCTCTCGGCATATTCTCTACTACATGTACCCTCAACTTCCCACTTCCTGGGATCCATTTGTCTAAATCTAACTCTACTTCCCCTTCTATCCTACATGGACCACCCAAAGTGATCAACCTACACGTACATTTTTTTATTCCCGGTATCCTCTCTCCTTTACACAACTCCTCCAACATCTGCCTAGATACTATTGTATTCGAACTTCCCGTATCCACCAGACACTTTCCCTTCCCCACAACACTTATGATTGGCAAACCAACGCACTCACCTCCAATATTATTTACTACCGCGTGGCTGCCTCCCCTCTGCTCCTCTCCTCATTCGTCCGATCTTCCTCTCCTGTCCGCGACGGCTCCCCCTTCCCCACTCTTTCTGCTGCTTCTGCTTCTTCGAGCTGCACTCACCACCGGCTCCTCCTCCTCGGTTCCAGATGTTCCCGACGAATCGTCCGACTCCGATGCCGCTCCTCTCTTCCTCCACAATCTCTGGGCGTTCACCTCCATCGGCTCATCTCGGCCCGCTTCCCCCCGTCTACTCATATACGGGCATTGTCTAGCAATATGCCCCTCAGTTCCGCATTCGAAACATCGGGTTCGCGGGCAATTCGCCACTAGGTGACCTATCTTTCCGCACCCGTGGCATCTCCTGTCCTCCTTTGTCCATTTCCTTCTCTCCTTCCCTGGCTTTTTCTCCCTTATCGCCGTTCTTTCTCTCGCGCTAACTTCTCCTCCTCTTTTCTTCCAGCCTTCCTGTCTCGTTCTAAATCTACCGGGTTCCGCTCTCCTGTACGATACTCGGTTCCACCCGTTCTCATTCTCCTCTTCTCCCCTGGCTGCTTCTTCCTCCCGCGCGCTTGCATCAATCATTTCCTGGGCACACTCTACAAAACCCTTGTCTCTAGGTAGTCCATCCTTCTTTCCCGTGTCTCTACCCAGTTGTACTTTAAGGATGGTTGCCAGGAACGCCATTCTTGCTCCCGTTTCCACTGCATCCGCTACTTCCCTCGTCTTCTCCGTTACATTGTTGAATCGTGCCAACAGGTTTGCTGCATATTGTCCGTTGGACTGATACGGCTGTTTCTTCTCTCGGAACATCTGTAAGATGTCTTCTTCTGGGGCCCAACGGCCCCCTCCAAATGCCTTCTTCAGCCTGTCCTTCACGGTGCTCCATGGGGTGTCCTCATCCGCCTGGATCATGTTCAGCACACTCCTTTTAACCCGGCATACCAAGGCTGCCCTCAATGCGTTGGCATCCAGCGGATCTATCAAGTTTTCCCCTTCTTTGGCCGCTATACGCGATATCACCCGGTCGCCTCCCTTTAGAAAGTGGTTCAACTCACCTGTTCCTCCATCAAATCTCTCCAGGTCAGATATAGCTCTCCTCAGGTCCTGCGATGTCGCCGTTCTAACCTTCAGCCATTCCAGCGTCGTCGCATGTGCTGACGCTAACGTCTCCGTAGGTAGCGGAGGAAAGTCCCTCGCTAATGCTTCTGCCAACGTAGGAAACGCTGCCGGTGCCGCTGGTGCCGCAATCGGTTGCGCTACCTGTGCTGTAGGCGGTACTGGTGGTGGTGGACGTACTGGCGGTTGACCTACTCCGTTCGGCATCCTGTTTTTTTATTTATCTCCACGACGTGAAAAGAAAGAAGAAGAAAAAAAAATAAAAACGAAAAGACAACTACAACAGTAAACTCTTTAAGATTCCCGGGTTTCGGCACCACTTACGTCGGTTCGAACTCGGAAAGATAAAAAAAAGAAAGAAAGAAGAGGTTTGAAATGAAACGCGTGGTTGCTCAAATAAGACTGACTTTATTCTCTCCGTAATGCTATATATATAGCATTACGGTTTGTTTACAACTATTGTCTAGGATTAACTCTCATATAAACTTACATCTAACCATAACTTACATATATATATATATATATATATATATATATATATATATATATATATATATATATATCCAGAAAGATTATAATACATACATATATATATATATATATATATATATATATATAATCTTTCGGGCTGAAGACCTCCTCCCCCATAATTAAATCCTGGATCAGCTAGTGTCGTTTAGTTTATTTTTTATATTATTCATTAAATTTCTGTGGTTTGTATTGTACATGTATGAAATGATAATGAAAACTCTGAAAATTCCCGTTGCACTGAAATTCTCCTTAATTTATTAATCAATAATTCGTAATCTCAATTATCCCCCTTTTTCGAAAATCTCAATAATTTGTAATAAACCGTTGGCTCCTTGGCAATATGAATTATTGGAATTGTAATCTACCTAAGTTTCGTATGTTTTACATCAGGCAGTATTTCTTCTTATTAATATTTGTTTTTTTATAGACAATCTTATATCAAATATAACGAGTCCAGATGAAAACTTTTCAAATACAGAGTCCATTTTGCAGAAGATAATTTTCCTGGGAAGGTACAGAGCGGCAGTGGAGTACCGCATTGCGGCTCGGTCAGGCTCAGGTATTCAGCCTAATGTCCTCTATCTCTTGGAATAATTTTCCACCTGATGAAGCTTCATATTCAATATCGAAAGGTAGAGAGCGGAGGATATTATAAATTGTATTTAATATTGCCAGAAATAAATATAGTTTTATATTTAATCGATCCGGTCAGATAATACATGAACAGAATATTCAATTGGTTTTAAATATTACGTCGGTGCATTATAATACCTAATTTAAATTTTGTTCTGAGATTATTCATTTCATAAAATGTTCTTTTTCTTTTTTCGTATAAATCATCAGTAAACGACATTTAGAATTCACAGATTTTTATTGCGGCGAAAAAAATTATAAAGAAGAAATATTTAAGTCGGATCATAACACAGAAAATAGAAATTTATAATCATTGAATTTATTATTGCTTATTTATTTTCATTTTTATGTAGAATGCAGTATCGGATTGAGTATTTAATTTCGGAAATTTTTTGTTGTTGATTTTTTTTTACGGTAATTACCATAGAAGAAAAATAACACACACACACACACATATATATATATATATATATATATATATATATATATATAATTATATTTAAATTGTTCTTGAATGCGTGAGAAAAACAGCTATTTGCACAAACAATAATGCTATTAAAAATGTTTTTGAATATGTTTTCATAACAACTACTTACATTTTAATAACTTCATATGTATTTATAATTCAAAACAGTACATATTGTGAATTATTTAGCGCATATCACTCACAGAAAAAAGTGCAGACCGATGAAAAAAAAAAAAGATTTCTATTTTGGGGTCTTCATCTTGAAATCCCTCCTCTCCCCTCTTCCCTGAGGATCACACCTGAGACTTCATAGTATTAAATCATGAGAAAACTCGAGGAAAGAAATAAAAACGGATTTTTTTTTTCAGCATGACAACAATCAAACATAAAAATTCAATGAAATGTGACTGAATTATATGGTATTTAGGTGGCTTTAACAATACAGGAGGTTTCTGATCATTCCACCCATTGTCTAATTTCTTAATCCATAAATTTCAATAAATTGATTATTTGCTTATTTTAAATATTATCTTATTTATTTATTTTTTCTCTTTCCCACTTCTACTCGAAAGGATCATTGGCGTTTAACTATAATTTAGATTTTATTATAGAACTACTTTGTAATATTCAAAATTTTAAATACAGTAGAGATTCATCCTTCAATATCCTGCAGAATTCCTCGTAATGTTTTTGACAGGTTTTTTTTTTTTTTTTTTTTTCAATAAGTGGCCTTCTTTCACTACGTGTTTCACTATTCGTTTACACTCGTTGCATTTCCATTTTTCTTCCTAAACTGATAGTTGTATTTTCTTTGTTTAGTCTACTCAGACTTCTAAGATCAAAATTAGATATAACCATATAAGTTTATTAAACAATTCAAAAATAACAGAATCTACCTTGAACTGAGGATTGCTGTCTATCTTGTACTTGTATGCCTCCTTAATCTCAGCCAAAGGTACATTTTCCATGGCGTCCTTCACAAGGGCCACCACTCCATCTCCTGGAGACCGTGGCCACCTGGAACAGAACAATTTCAGAAGAAATCAGTTAACTGAATCTCATTTGTACATAAATCTGTAAATAAAATCATTTGTGATAGTCGGTTACCTTTTTACATCAGGTTGAACAAATGGAATGTCCAGAACGTGGTTCACCTTATTAGCCAAGGAGTAGGCGTCGATGTTGTACAACTCAGCCATGTATGCCAACTGCCGATAAAACATGGAACATTATCTTAAGAATTCAAATTATTTAAAAGATAAAATTCATGATAATACTCGAAAAAAGAAGATAATAAGCCGAAAATTCCACCCCAATAACGGATTCTGTGTAGAAGGAAAATCATTCCCAAGAGTAGAAAAATGCAAATACCTCGGCTCCACAATAACTTCGGTGAATGACCAACGGGCAGAAATAGACCAGCGTATAACTAACGTAAACAGACTTTCTTCTCTCTTTCAAAGATATTGAAATCCGAAAAATTTCAACAAATCTTAAATCAAGGATGTACAATGCTATGATAAAGCCTGCTCTAATATATGGCTGTGAGACCTGAACACTAACCAGTACCTTAGAAAAAAGTGATGAAAGATTTGAGAGAAAAATCCTCCGCACGATAACCAGAGCTATCTGGGATCAGAGTAGTAACACCTGGAGAAGATAGACCAATAAAGAACTGCTTACAGAAACTGGTAAATCAATATGCCATGATATGAAGGCAAGGAGATTAAGATGGGCGGGGCATGTAGCTCGTAGCAATCCATCTGGAAGCCCTACGTAACAATGAATACCTCAATAGAAGGCACAAGACCACGTAGAAGGCCAAAAAGCAGATCGATAAATAGAATCAACAAAGATGCAATTGAACAGCGTGCAGATAAATGGAAAGAAATAACCAAAGACAGACAGAGATGGAGCAGGCGGCTAAAGATCTACATGGCCTGTAATGCCAACAGAAACAAATAAATACTCGAAAACACTATATTAATGTTCTTCTGCCACCATTATCTAATAACATACCTAGGAGCTTTAGTTATAGTTCTGAAAGTTTGTAATGTAATGTATATGGGTCTTTTTGGCTGTCCCGCATATCTGTGAAGCTTATGACAAAATGGGATTATGTAGGTAAATGCAAGTGTTCAGAATATGTCTTAGTTTTAATTTTGAACGTCTTGAAAGAATTGAGAATAATATTCTTTACCAGTTAGTTGACAAATAGTTAACGACCACTTAAAGACACACTGCAATAGATTTCACGATAACTTACACCGATACACTAACACACTCAAAAAAGGTATGACCATAATTAAATCCGATAATATGCTTCTGATTGTATGATAACATTTTAAGGATCCTCAAAAGAATCTGGATGAGGGATCTCCTTCCTTAAATAAATACTAAATCAAGATAGGAAGAGTGCAGCAGAGCACTTTTTCTCCCTCACGCCAAGGCTACAATTATTCTTATCGACAGTAGACTCACTGGTTGTTAGTATTGCTGAAAGGTGTGAGTGAAGAAATGAAGATAAAAAATAAAAAGTTCCTTATACAATTTCATTCATTTTTTTATTATAAATATAAATGAATATACATATTGCCTCACATCAGAGAACTGCGGACTAGCTTCGATGGCGGCAACGTTCTCCTTGAACTTGGACCCAGAGAGGTAGCCCAAGAGGGACTTGACCTGCTGGTCTTGGATGGCGTACTCTATAGCGATCGCCATCACCTTCTCGAAGGGAACCATCTCCACCAGTTCTACCACGTCCTGCTCCACCAGGTTTCTGTTGTCTGTTAATAAACACGCCAAAACAAATTTGGATCAATTGTTATCATCTTAGATTATTCTTTCATTTACTTTCAGTGCCAATCAAGCGGTTGATAATACAGAACAAAATAACCTTAAGAGGTTAGCAGTGGTTACGGTTCCCGGGTTTCGATATTTGTCTCGACTTCGGTCAGGATTATTTGGAATTTTGCCTATCTTACGAAGACACTAAAATAGTCACTTTTAAAAATATTTCAATGGGACTTGGATAGATGCCAAGACAGATACAAACTTAAATAATCATTATATATCATGTAAAGTTATAGGACGCCGGGGACCGTAACCGCAGCTAACGTATTAAATACGAAATTTCTTATTGTTAACTGAATAACTGAACTCTATTAAAAATTGTTTCCAATCTTCTTCTACAAACCCATTCTTATACAATATAGAAGTAATTTAACTCGGCTATTGTCTCACGTTTCATAGATTATGAAATTGATGAAACCAGATTTAGAATAAAAAGTTAAAAAAAAAAATGTTTTAAGTATTGGAGAATATTCTTTTGAAAGATTTGATGTAATGACAAGACTGAGAGGAGGTTCCATCAATCGCTGGTTCATTCCATAGAGCAAAAGATAAAATACTGCGATTCATCACAAAGTCGTTAGCAGCGTAGCTCTTTGTCTCTCACTTTTACCCATGCTCTACATTCTTGCAGCTCATTCAAAGCACACAAACAAAAGAGAGTCATTGCTCTTACTGATCGATCCCTCACGCCATGGACTTTCTCCGCTGTCAATAATAACCATTTTGGAGCTATGAAGGTTTACTAAGAATATAATATATATTCAAACTAACATTCAACCATTACTTTCGTAGAAGACTTAGTGAAGCTTCAAAGGTTTGGCTATGCCATATTAAGCCTGCTCTACTGAATAAAGTTTTTTTTTTTATCCCAATAGCCACTAGCCGATTTAGGATTTAATTTTGGTTGGCTTCAGCCTGAAAGTTATGTATATATATATATATATATATATATATATATATATATAATATTTTTTGAGATAATTTCTTAATATTTTTTCATAAGATATGGTTATATTTTACCATTTTAGGGAAGCTTCAGCTGAAAATTCCCCTCACCCCTGGTGGTCCGCCTGTGCAAATAGCTATTGATAAAATTTGATCAATAGGTATCAGAAAACAGATGGTTTTTGAAAGAAAATTACAGCTAAAGTCCTAAACATTTCAAACATGCTATGACCACAAGTGGGAAATTTGTTCGTGATCTATCGAGAGAGACTCGATTGTTAATACTTCAGAAAATATTTATAGAAGGTCTTAGACCTCCAACAATGGAATTAGAAATGCTTATCTTCAATCCATCATCTTCAGGAAATAAGAGTTAAATAAAAAAGTAGCACCTTAGTAAAAAAAAACTGGAGTTGGACTCCAACATCATACATTTTAAGAATCCAAATCATCATCAAGGCACACAAATCCAAAGTTGTCTCTTTCAGAAATGTTAACTTAGAATATGTTGTTAATGTTGAAAACATATCAACTATAGAAAATAAACTAAAAAATATAAATAATTGATTATTTACATTCTTCTTTAATTAAGAAATACAGTATATTATTTGAAATTTAGATTTACCTCTAGGAATTGGAACACCATTGACCAAAATTGCACCAAAAATATAGATGAAATACCTGCACATCTGTAAAAGAATTGAATTTTTCTATAACATTAAGTGTAATAAAATTCTGTAAAAGAATAAATAAAGTTTGAATTCATTAAATATTATGACTATCATCAGATTATCAATACTTGATATTGAAGCCATGAAGGACAGCCTTATAAAGAGTATTAGACTAAACTTAATTGTCGTAGTAAAATATTATATTCTAGAACATGATTTTTTGTGACCTCTATTTCATTAAGATAAATGAAAACTTCATAGGATAAATATGGTCTTGGTTGTGAAAAACATACCTACTATTATGAAACATAACTAAGTGCGAATTTCTACATTCCTCTTTTTTTTTTATTTTTATATAAGACTGCACTACCTCACACAGATACTCCTAGTATGTTTTTGAGTAATTAATAAACAATGACAATCGGTTTTATTGTTTTCAAGTCACAATTGATGATAAGGGTATAACAAACTTTTTAAAAAATTACTTTTCTAGATTCAAGTAAATTTAAAATATTTAAAGGAAGGAGATGGACCAGGGTGGCGGTCATAAATAGACTAAATAGTGGCAAAACTATTTTATTAAAAGCCAACATTTCGACCTGACGGCCACCCCGGACCATCTCCTTCATTTATATAATGCAACGATCAACTATTAAATATTCAATTAAAATATTTAAATTAGGAAAATACTAAACAAAATTATATTCTCCATGGTTCTGAATCACAGGTACTAAAGGAAGTAACAAATTAATATCACTTTTTATTAGGAGAGGAAACCCCTTAACAAGGTCTTAATTTAAATTAATTATTTATATTGAACATAGTTATTATAAGTATGTACAATATAAGAAAACTAATAAACTTACTTTGTTTGATCGAGTGCAATAGCTTAAAAAATCACACCTCACACCATTGAGCAGTACAGAACGTTATTTCCTATGTTGAGTGCAACTTAACTTTTGTGTTGAGCTTCTGAAAAGTAAATTAATTTTCAAGGATTTTTTTTTTTTTTTAGGAATTTTCACAATAAATTTTTAATCTTCTGAAATAAATTTAAACGATTAGCAATATTATGGATGTGTTCAAGTTATAGGTAATTTTTATTGTGACAACATTTATTCAGTGTGTGATTAAAAAATAAATCATCTAAATATTGGTTTTCCTTTTTTTCTTGTTTAGTTGGTGAATAAAGTCTCATTTGTGTAGACGAAATAGAAATAATGTTTTATTGGAACGATAGACAAAAGATGGAATAAAAGTTAAATTTCAGTAGAATAAAAATAATAAATGAAAATTAATTTTCATTCATTGCAGATTTAACTATACACATTTCCAGTAATGTATGGTAAATAATTAATTATTAAAATTTAATTAGCATTACCAAAAATTACTGTTCTCAAGAAGTTGGTGCTTGCTGATATTTCTATAAAATGAACAATTGAAGGAAAACATCTTTCATATCAATAAAACTCCACTTTTAGGAAATTCAGATATATGCCACAACAAATGTATTTGTATAAATATTAGCAAGACTTTCAAGCATTTTAATAAACTTGATTCAAAATGTTATCACCAAAATTTAGTTGATGTTAAGTTTTCCTAAACTTTTATTACGTCTCAACCATCTTAATTTTTTTCTATTTTGTTTACATGGATAATGATGTTACAAATAGAAAAAAATTCTTAAGAGGTAAGTTAACAAAATCGTAGGGAACATAAAAAAAAACTGTTTAGTGCTCCAAAGAATCATCTATTTTTTCAATAAGCATAGTAATTATTTATTAATTACACAAAAGAATGATTTATTGAAAGATATCTTTTTTTTTTTTTTTTTTTTGTTTTTGCCTGTATTATAAATATTTGTAATGTTATTTCATTTCATCAGCATTCTTCAAGAAAGAATGTTGACATAAATCTTAACTGTTTATTAATATATTTTTTAAAACTTAGAATCACTCTGCTAGGTTTAAAATAGTCCCAATTAGATTTGGCTGAAATAAATGAATTCAGGATAAATGTAATAAATAATTTAGAGTAATAAACTATATTGAAATGGTACAGCTTAATAAATTTTAACATTGAAATTAATTAAAAATCACTTATTTAAAAAAAAAAATTAATCATTGTGGTAGGGTGTTCAGTTGTGATTAATATAGTCTCAGTTTGTTTCAGAAGTAAGTTTCAACTAACTGGGTTAAATTTATTGCAATAAATATTTGATATGTCATTCAAATAATATCTTTCTGTTCACTTTAGCTGTAGAAGTTAAATTCCATTGAATGTGATGAAAATATCTTTAATGCCCTATTATCATTAAGGTTATTGTAAAGGAAAACAGAACCAGAGATTACTTACATTCTGATGATTTGATGGCTGAGGACTGAGCCAGTGGCACAAGAGGATAGGCAGTGACAGTTAATCAGGCTAGATTCAGTCTGTCAATTCAGCCTAATTCAACCTTCCTATCTAAACACTAACAACCTTCAGGTTCAATTTCATTAGGCCAATCTTTGTTTTTTTTTTTAAATTCAAATTATGTTCGAATACAATTAAAGTAATCTTTGGAAATACGAATACTTCAAAATACAGAGACAATTAATTCATCAAATCATAGTACAAGCACTAATATTATATTTTTCTATTATAAAAAATGCGGCTAACTTAAATTTTTCATTTCAATAAATGACTGTTATTTAATTAAAATATAATGTTTAGAATACATTAATTTAAAGCATTGCACACAGATCCATCACTCTAAATCCTTTTTAATGTAAAAATTTAACTGTTAATAAACCAAGCATTTTTAGATCAAAATCAATATTTACTTTGATAAAACAATATTAGGAAATTTACTTCCGGTATTATTTAGCTTTTTGAATTATTCATAAGTAAAATCATTTATAAAAAAATAAATACAGTATTAAATATGACTCCTATCTAAAACAAATTGAAGGAGAAAACACCTAGATATGTACAATTCATATTATATATGCATGTGATTAAGCCAAGTTTTATTCTTATATACAATAAGAATATATTTATACATTTTAAAAAAGATTATTAACTGCAGTATTGATATATATATATATATATATATATATATATATATATATATATATATATATATATATATATATATATTAAAATAAATTCATTAATTTTATTTAGATATAGAAACATGAATCATTTGAGACAACTAAAAAGATGATGGCAAACTTTAAATTTTTAAAATATTTTTTCTTGTTAAACAATTAAATCAATATACTAATTCAAAGGAAAAAATTATAAACTAATAACTTGGTGTTATATATTGTAGAAAATCAAAAATCCTTGGATTGGATGGAAAATGGAAAAGAACGTAAGATGAAATCATTAAGCAGTGAAATATTTTATTTTTTTTCGTTCCACTATCTACCTCACCATTTCTGACTTGAGTCATTTCTGGGTTCGTGGCTTGAACCCGACTAATGTGTTTGCAAATTACATGTTGCCTGGCAACCTGACATCAAGATAGAGTTTGAGTGAAATAGGCAGTACGTACCTATTCAGAAAGGAGACTACCTAAATAGACCTACTATCGCTTATTTATTTATCGAAAGCCAAATGGATCATTTCTGACAATTGTCGCAATTATTTAATGATTTCATACTCTTGGAGTGGACAAGCAGTGGCCTGGCCCAACAGCAGCCGTTTTTTGATGACCTGGTCACTTTCAACTTTTTTTATCCTGTCCCCAAAAAGTGCATATGTCTTCAGCAAAACTGACTACTATTAACTTTTACAAGCTTTTATTTCTTGTTTTTCCATGATCTTGGATGCATTATGAATAAACATAATTGCCTAAATACACTTTTTATTTATAAAAAGAAAAATTAAAAAATAATGATTTTCCAGGTAAGTGGTTATGAAACTGTTTTTCACCTAGATCTCTGTTATACCAATTGATATGTAATTATAAGTGAAATAATAAATTTTTCTAGTCCTAAAATTTAATTTACATGAAATAAAGCAATCAAGATGCTGAACTTTGTTATAGCTCTTTAGGTCCAATATCACCTGTGAAAAAAATTTCCTTCTGCTTATGGGACACTCTGTGTGTACCAAAAATATATAACTCTCCTTTTAAGAATTAATATTGCTGAAGAAATACCAAGAGTTGTTGTTTTGATAATTCACTTCATTTGCTAATGAGTAAATATGGAAACAATAAATCAAGAGGAAGAATAGGGGTAAGTAAATAAAATAATAATTACTAAAGACAATCTAAGCAGTGTCCTCTTATTTAATAACTAATATAATAGCATACAAATATTTATTTATATTGGAATACATTTACAAATGAACGACACACGCTTTCTTTAAACAGTAATCAAATAGTTATTATTTTTTTTTAACTAAAAATTTATTTAATCAATTCGTCTCATATTTATATATAATATTTATATATGTATATATACTCTAAAGCTAAAAAGATCTAACTTAAAAATTATTTCACAGAATTTTAATTCGAAGGGAATTACAAAATATCGGATGTGGCAGACGTTGACGTTTATATCTGACACCTAAAACATAAAATCATTATGAAATAATTGAAAATATTATAAATACAACACACATTTTGAACGATCAAAATTGTATGGCATTTCAATTTTTTTTTTCAGTTAAATATTATTTTATGATCAAACAACTTAAGTTTAAAGATTATAAACAAATGAGATTCCAAATATTAGCTCCATATCTAACCAAAAATAAAAAAAAATTAAACTTAAATGAACATCAACTTTTCATAAATTAAAAGTAATCACTAGTAGTAAGAGGAAATTATAATTATAAAAAATAAATAAAACTAGAAAATTCACTTTACAAAAATAGTTAATGTTCTAAACTACTCAGAAGAGTTAACAACTATTGAAGTTTACAAAGGAATTCAGGTAGTTAGGGATCAGGTGGCAATGAAAACATTTCAGGATTTTCAGGACTAAAAATTCTCTTTTAAATAAAAGTAAATGATCAAATAAGTTTGGAAATTAATTAAAGATTATCAATTCATTAAAGTTTCAATAAATAAATAAAATTTATTAAGTGTTTATACTAATCTAATAATCCAAATAGAAAGTAACTCAACTAACCATCATAAGGAACTAAAATTTTATGAATTGCCAAAAACAATTATGATATCCAAGAAAATATACATATGTTTTTTTAAAAATAAAATAAAATAAATATTATTTAAAATTAAAGAATTGTTTGTAAATTTACCATATAAGATTTAATAACATTAACCAATTTTTCATCCTAGAAATATATATTTATTACAAAATTTTGTATGCAACTGCATTTCATTAAGTAGCTTAAAATATATACAAACAGTAGACTCCCACTTACCCATTTATGTGGGAAATGAAACATTGTCGGTTAATAGGCAGAGTATAAAATTAAAAAATACTTTAATATTATTTTAACTTCAATATTGAGGTAAAATCTTTAAAAAATTATCTTTCAATGACACAACTAGTTTTCTTTTTTCACTCATCTTGTCATACTAGTTCATTGAATGAAAGGTGTGACATAACTGGAAAGAATAACGTAGTACACAAACAAAATTCTCGACTAAAACTTTTCCAAGAAAATGTGTCATCTAACGTCGGTAATTACGCATTATTCATTCTTCATTTATTTTTTCATTTTGCTATGAAATAAATGAAGGATTTTTTTTCAAGAATCAATTTCACTTCGTATGGATTTTTGTTGAGATTCGGCCAATTGTAAAAAAATAATAAACAAAGCCCATTTGTCTACATTTCAATCCATTTAAAATAACTGCAACACAACAAAAATTAAATTATAAGCAGTAGTTAAGAATCTCACAAAGTTATAAGGGCTTTTTTTTAAGGATGATAAAAAAATTTGTTTTTCTTAGACTGCTACTGCTGGTTAATCAGGAGTCTACTGTACTTGGTATTTTATGTTTCTGAAATTTCGTTTACATTTTCTCAAATGTAAAATAATTATGAGAAAAATTTTAAACCAGATCAAATCACATGATGTTGATAGAAAAATAAATGGAAATAAAAGATAAATTTCAGGAACTTTGTATTACAAAATTTGCATATTAAATAAAAGACAATTTTAATACTTTAGTATTATTTTGAAGTAATGAATGTATTCATTATGTATGTATACAGTTGATAATAATTGTATAAATATTTTAGATGAATGGGTATTAGATATCAAATAAGATGATCAAAGATAAAAGTTTGAAACATTGACTAATTAAGTTTTGGAAGTAACAAAATAATGAAATGGTTTCATTCTTAGACAGTAAATTATGTTTAAAAATATTTAATAAATAATTTTATTTGTTTCAGAAGAAAAATAAGAAATAATTTTAAAGCAATTTCTGAGTTCAAGTAATATTAAAATAAATGTGAAATTTTAAAAATATTGACCTTTGACTGTAGTTATTTATAATGAAAAATAAAAATAATCAACAGTATAGAAAGGTATTTTTATTATTATTTACCTTTTAATATTTTATTTTATCTTTTATTATTCAAAAAAGAAAATCTTCAAAGAACCAAATAAAAAGTATATAAAAATTAACTTTAGTTACTATGTACAAATTTCGATGTTAATGGTATTGAATTTATGATTTCTCTTTCTTTTGTTTCAATTTCCTCAAATTTATTTGAAAATTTCTAAAAATCATGTGAAAAATAAAGCTTTTACTACCTTCAAAACTCATGAAATTAAAGGTCTATATATATCACTTCTAATGATAATTTAAAATAAAATAAAAAAATTATAAACTAAGCAATATGAAATTTTTGGTATAGGAAAATAATTTTAAAAATAACATACAAAATAAATTTATATAAAATCTAAATTGATATGAAAGGTAAATTAATTAATTGTTAACTCCATTGCACTATTATAAAACATATTTCTATAACTCGAGATATTCACTACGAAATGAAGAAATAATTTATATGTATGACGTTCTATTATTGATCTATTTTATTATTAACATTATTGAAGGGTCAAATCGATAAAGATGGAAAGTAACATTTTTGAGCTCTCCAAAAACCTGGATCAATAAAATCAACTTTTTTTTATTGGGTGATAAATATTCAGGACCAAAGTGCATAACCAAACATGTGGGTCATCATCAGGGCGTGTTTCGAGCACTGAAGGTATTCTTTCAAGTACTGCCACATGTTTGGGTTGAAACGTTGGCACTAATAAAAACTTCATAATGACTGCGTCCTGAATATTTATCACCCATGATATGTAGAATAGTAGACTAATTTCCTCCACTAAAATCAACTTTATTCACATCGATTCTGTAATAATGTCCATCAACTAAGTTATGAGCCAAATATAAAAAATAATTCAGTTAACCCCTCAATCGTTAGCAACAATTAAATTTTCCCTATAATATCACTTATCACCTTTATATACTTGATCTTTCAATTTCAAATGATAAAACGACAAATAATTCTTAAAAAATTCATGAAAAGATGTATTCTTTGATCAGAAAATATAGAAAATTACTATTTAGCAATTAATTTCAATGAATAATTTTTAATGTAATAGATTCATTTGGTATAAAATAGAAAAGCATAAAAAATATACTTATAAATAAAATTTAATACTTAGATAATTAACTCACTAGCATTTAATTAAATAAATCATTGTCTGGGATCAGTTGGAATAAGGAATAAGAAAACATTTAATAGTTCTTGGTTATTTAACAGTTCATTGAACCTCAAACAACAATTTATAATTAATAGTATATGGTTAACCATCATTATATCGTCAGTTTATTGCAAAAATTCATCAAGTGACATTTCATAATCTCAAATAATTAAAAACTTTGATGAATTTTTCCTTTGTTATATCAGAAAATTGTGCACTTAGGGTAACTATATATGACAATTAAAAGGATATTTGTCATTTTCATGTACTTACCACCACTTTTAAATTAATATAAAGGTCTAAATATATACAAAAACATATTTGAAAGTTAACCTATATCAAAAATGCACTAAGTGAATTTTTGTGATAAACCAACGATATATCGTAAATCGAATTTATATATTTTAACAATTAATTGCATTAAAAATAAAACAACTTAATGAGCTTGAATAATTTCAATAAAATGACTAAAGAGTGGAATGCTTGCTTAAATATTACTATTAAAATAATATAGGTTTGTTTCCTATTTAAAAAAAAAAAAAATCAAAAACTAAAATTTTGTAATAATGTATTTATTAAACTCTAATAAAATAAAACTAATAACAGAAATCAAACATTTATTAAATAAGACTAATAACATAACATATAAATTACTGTGTCACAGAAGTAAAATATCTTTATTGGACAAAACAAAGGGCTTTGTAGAAATTTCATGATCAAGCAGGCATCACTATTCGGTAAGATTAATGAATGTATATACTTTTTTTTTTAAATTGTTATAATCATTTAAAAACACTACAAAATCAAAAAGAAACCTGACCTTGTGCCATTGTGAGCGAAGATGACACAAATAAATAAAGATAATTTATACAAATCCGAAGTTCTTTGTCTTGATTGCAAGCAGAAGTTTGTGCCTAAGAACCTGCCGTGAGGAATACAAGGGGATGTAAAGTCTTGAAATACAGGTGTTGGCGGTAGGAAGGTGGGTGTCATCGGCTGGCCTAATGGTCACTGACGGCATTGGCTGGAACCCATCCTCGGAAGCAGGTAGGGCTGGAGAACCAGTCCAGAAATAAACCTGTAAAGGAAATATTGGTGTCAATGTCATTTAAAATAAGCAAAAATATTTTTAAAAAAATCAAAGACAGTGGTGGAAAAATTTGGAGTGGTGCGAACATCACACAACTTTCACTTACCAACCCTAGAATAGATAGGTATTTTTATACATAGAGAAAAAATTTTCCTGCCCATCGAATCTATTAAATTTATACATTTGCATCACTTTCCATTTCCTTTTAGGACTGTGTACAGTAATAATACTAATGATTGTGGAGAAAAATAGATCTTTTGGAAGAATTCTGAGTTTTATCGGAAACATTTATCACGAAACTTGTCAAAAAAAAATAACTACATGTTAGTAAATATTATGCAGTATTAGGTTTATATTAATAGATTCTCATCATTTCACAACAAAACCTTTTTAGAAAGTTATGGATAAGAAATATATAAAAGTTAAATTAGCAATATGAAACTCCCGTACAGAGCGGTATTGGATATCTGAAAAGGGAGAGGATCAGCAAAGGTCGGGCGCTCTCAACTGTTTCTGTACAGCTTCCAACCCTTATTTCTCTTTTAGTCATCAATCAATTTTCTTCATTCATTATATTTAACATCATTTAACAACCCACTTATCTTATTCCATACTACCGTTAAAAACCTAGGTGTTGCTTTTGATCAAACCCTCTTCTGGAAACCACACATCTCCCAAATTTCCCGTTTAAAAGTCGCACTACATCTCCCAAATTTCCCGTTTAAAAGTCGCACTATCTCCACCCTAAAACAGTTTAATCGTCTACGTTATCTCCTTCCATACAAGTCCCGTCAACTCCTAGTTTCCTCTTTTGTTTTCCCCCACTTGGACTATGGCTATATGGTGTACAGTGGACTCTCGGGAGATTTCGAGGCCAAACTTAAACGCCTAATGAATTGCGCATTATGTTTTGTTTTCGGAATCTCAAGAGAAAGGCATATTACCCAGTATTACACCGAGTTGTAGTGGCTCTATCCATCCTATCACCATCAGTACTTCCTAGCTACCTTTCTGTATGAGATCATTAGAACTCATAGACTCTCCTACATTTTTCACATCTTACAATATAAATACTACATCCAATCCCATCCCACTAGATCTCGTACTTCCGACCTGTATCCTCCACTTCACCAAATTGCTTATGACAAATCATTTGCAATTCAAGCTGCCTCCCTCTGGAATTCCATCCCTGCTGATATTCGATATATGAAATATATTCGACACGCACAATAAGTTTCCTCTTTCAAACCTCTCCTTTTTAAACATCTATTCCTTTCTCAATCCGCCTGATTACGAAATATACCTACGAGAGCTATCTAAGGACCCTAGAAAATAGTTCTGTTATTTAAGTTTCCTTTGTTTGTCTTATATATATGTACGCTTTTCTTGTCTTTTTCTCTCTCTTCTTCTGTATTTTTGTTTTTAATTAACTTTTATTTTAAATGAGGAGTTGATTGGGAGGAGGGGTGCAATAAAATAAAAATTAAATTTTAAAAATAGTATTTTTAAAATTTAGTATTTATTTGACCGAACCCCCCGAGATCAACTCCTCATATTATATCACGGGCAACCATCTTTACATCATTATTATTTTAAATATATACTTTATTTAATTAACAAACTTTAAACACATACATGTGTACTTTCTGTACTTATAATTTGTTCTTAAGGGACAATAGTCCCAGAATAATAAAATATATTTTCATTTCATTTCATTTATAATGTAAAATGGTTAATTATTTTAAATAAAAACTTACTAGGAAGAAACATAGAAAATTAGGTATTTAAATCCTGTTAGAGAATATCAATGATGGTAAGACCTATATTATATGAAAAACGGCTTAATTTTACACTAATATAATGAATTTAATCAAAATCATTAGAGATGTTAAGAGAAGTACTAGATTAAGCAACAAGAGATGTTAGAAATGGTAAATTAATATACGAATTATTTTTTTTAAATGATACCAAGATTGAACAGGACTATCAGAATACAAGAAAATTAAAAGTTAATAACTATTGATTGGAATAATTTTATAATCAATGAATTGAATGTTATTAATACTAACTAAATCCATTCTTTCAATGTGAGTCATTTTTTCAACGATTGCCCAAAGCCACCTCTTGAATTTCAGCAACCTTTCCGATGTTTCTCCAGACTCATCATTGAATGAAGTATAGGATATTAGCACTGAAACATTGATGTCACCAACACCATTCAAAAGAAGACGAAGATCTTCAGCAGTCAGGCCATCCAGGGAACAGCTTGGAAGTACATCAAAAACTCCTTGCCTTATGGCCTGTAAGGAAATCAACAATTATTTCCATGTTTATTTCTAAAAATGTTTTAATAGAGATTAGAATATATAAATATATATATATATTTTTGTTTTTTCATATTTACCTCAAGGGCTTTCTGTTGTGACTTATACATGCGATATTCAGCATATTTTCTAACATAGTCATAGACATTGGCTGATGTTACTTCAAGATCCCTACCTCCTGGCACTAATTCAACACTTCCTCCTCCTTCTTCAGGGCTAAGTTCAATACTGAGAAAAAAGACGATAATCAAATGAAAATATGAAACAAGAATTTAAATTAGAATACACTTTATAAGAAATTAAAAAAAAATACCTAAATGTGAGGTCAAGTGCTGAAAACAATGAGTTCCCTTGTTTCGATTCAGCATCAATAACAAGTTGCCTAAGAGATTCGTACATCACCGGATCAAAGAAAGCAAGGTCATGGAACCTTATTTGGCGACCTAGTATGAACTTGAGGACATGCCTATTTAATAAGAGAGGAAGCAGTTCATTTTGCAAAAGACAGAGACCGATCAACCTGAAAAAAAAAAATATATAGGGTAAGTGAAAGTAAAAAAAAACGGTTAAACATACAATAGGAAAAAATTAACAACAATTCACCAGAAAACCTAATAATATATTATGCTCATTGTATAAAATTTTAATTAATTAAAATAAAACTGTTACAAAATCTTAATTGTATATAATGTATCAATTGTTGACAATGTTGGACTGTTATAAAATTTTTGAAATACATTTTTAACCGAGCTAAAGCTTAAAGTTTACAAATCATTAATACCATTAAAATAACAAAAATCCTATTTATTATATTGATGATTGATTATGGATTGTACGATCCGTTATTATGTATTGTACGACTTATTATTAAACTGTTGTTTTTTTTTCCATTGCAAAGTTTACTAAAATGGAATTTGCATGGCCTGTCATAGATAGGTCAAAAGTTTTCATACTAATTGTAAATGGATACTGTTAGGATATCACAAAGGAAAAATTGATCAAATTATTCATTAATTTAATTTTCTAAAATTTTACACAATGATTTTTCAGAATAAACGAACGATAAATATCTAATTATTACAAATAATATCTTATATAAATATAATATAAGATCAAGAGTTATTAAACTACAGTAAATGTATTTAAGGTTACATATCCATGAAATATTTTAATATTTCAGTTTTCTTTCACACAAATATGATGGAATAGTATTTTAAACAATGCCATTGCCTTGATTTGGTGGATTTTAAATACTTGTTCAAACTTAGAAAAAAAATTTAAACATTACATTTAGTAAGAAAATTCCATTAATTTTCCTTGGAAACATGTGATTTACGTTAAATAATGTTAGTTTTCAGAAATTATTATTTATAAATTTATTGTCACTCTCCGTTACTTTGTACAATTTTATTTATTAGATATTATTTTTTCTAACATTCTCCGCTTTCCAACGATATTAACTTAAACCTTATGGCCATTATTTCCGGAGATTCAATTTCAACCTGGATAAGCATTTTTCTTTATTTCTCTTTTAATCTCTTACCTATATATTCCATATAAAGATAAGTGAAAGTTAAAGCAACAGTTCCTTTAATGTTAGAATAATAATTCAGCAAGCCATCAGAAATTAATTTAACAAAAGGGTATAGCATTGCAGTTTACTGTTATGCTAATTTTGAAAGAATACTTTATAATTGGATTTCAAAGAAACTTATAGGAGAGGAACATTTAGAAGTATTAGCTTGTTTATTTTTTATTTGATTATTTTTTTAAATTTATTTTGGTTTACTATATTCTTATGACAAATTACATAATCTAGGACCATCGAAGTACAATATGTACCAGATTAAGAAAATTCACCTCAAAAATAAATTAATTACATACCTCCCAGTATTTCTGAAAGCATTTATACGTTCAAAAGTTGCCCGTCCTTGTCGAGGAGAGCAGAATCCTCTTTTACCAGGTGTGTAAAAAAGAGGTGCATTATCTTCAACCACAACCTCTTCGGTGGTCTCACTGACAGAAACATCAGAATTCACTGGGGTATTGCTAGAGGTCGATTTAGATGAATTAGTGGCTGACAATAAGTCCATTTCTGAAATTTAAAAATGATAATACAATTTAATAAAACTTCATTTTCCACTTCCACTAGCATAACTCTTCTAAAAAATACTGCTATTGATAATTATAGATCTTCCTTTACCTAATAGGGTATGATTTCCAATCTGATGGCCATTAGCTAAAATGATTTGCATGGCTTCTTCTACTTTTTGTCTTAACGCATCCTCTGAAGCTAACAGCATCAGAAGCTGTGCAGGAGATAATTCTAGAAGCATGCCAGTTATTTTTGCTGCAAATGAGGGCCTCAGGGCATGTACCTATAAAAGAGAACACAATAATCTAAACTTTGTAATTATAATTCAAATCTACTGTTGAATAACAAAACTCATCAATGAGTTTTTATATTTTACTTTGATAAAAAATAAAGAAGTCAACAAATATATATACATACACAAATTACAAGAAAGGAATACCTTAGGGTAAAGTCTTTCACCAAGAGTTATTTGATGATAAGAGAGGTGATCATTATTGGCCTGAGCAGCATCACTGGGTGTCGACGTTGCTGAGCTTGTCGCCGAAACAGCTTGGGATGAAGGAGCAAACGATCTTGCATCAATTGACAATGACCTTCTGGGCGACCTGCACCTCGAAGAAGCAGAAGAACGAGTCTAGAAAAAGATGAAATTAATTAAAAATAATTATTACTTCCTCTTTTCGAAAACAAATATTAAGGAGTAAAACAATATCAAGTTATTTTTTTATTATCACTGCTCTCAAGTATTGATACAATACTGATAATGTTGGTTAGCTCTAATGGTCTTAAGTTACCAATAAACAAATTACACTTATTAATTACATTTTACAATTACACCGATCTCTTTCGGCAATCTTCTCCTGTCCTCTTCTGACCTGAAGTTGAAATATACCAATAATCAAGAACCTGTTGGGGATTACTATATCCCTTAAATAAGTAGACAACTGTAATTTTCATAAAAACCGTTTTAAATAATGATAAAAAAATATTTTCCTTTTGGTCACTTGCTTAAATTAACTTTTTCTGGTAAGTAGTAGCAATCGTCTCTTTTCCTTGCTACAGTCAGTAAAAAAATAAATCCGCAATAGGTCCTTAATCCAACAAGACACCCTATTACCATGTAACATGTAATGTTAGTAGAAATGAGACAGATAACAGAAAGCTAAAAATGTTCTACTCCAGTTAAATTAGATCACTTCAGTAATTGAAGTAAGATTTAGAAAAAAAAAAAAAACATATAATTCATTTTATACTTTGTTCTTAATTTATATTTAGAATTTATTCTATTATAAGAAAAACAAAACCTAATTATAGTAAGTTTATAGAACCTCTAAAGCATCAAATCTTTAGCCAGAATATGATACAGGAATAAGATCAAAATAAGAAGAATATCCTCACTTATGGAAGAACTATTTTAGAAAAATATTTAATTCTAAACTGATTTAAATCATTTTTGTCAGTAACATACATGCTCGGACGGAATAACAAATAAATACTTTGATTATACTAACATAAAACAGGATACTTATAATGAGCAATTAAAGTTTTTTTGTTTATAACTTAAATATTAATGATTGTGAATATATTTTTTCATATTGAGGTTAAATTATTTGTTTATTTTATATGCAATCAGTCCTTCTGTTTCGGTGAAGTTGAATTAATGAATTCTAAAATTTGTTTTTTAAAATATCAAAACAACAAATCAACGATTACTGACTAGTATAAAATGAAATGTCAGGCCAGTTTCTGAAGTAACAACAATGGAATATGAACATATAAAATTCACCTAAAAATATTTTTGAAACAGATGTGACTTCTGTAATTTTATTTTTTTAATAAAAAAAGGTGTCAATGGGAAAAATTTTGATATTTTAGGATGGTTACAAAATACTTTCTTTTGTAAATCTTTTTTGTGGAAAGGTATTGTTTTATAACAAATTGAAAGAGTTTTGAAAGTAAATGATTGAATTCCATTACTTAACTAATTAATACTATCACCAGTGGTAGTTTATGTCTCCTCAAAAGCTGACTTATTATGTGGGACATCAGATAGCAATGATGAATAATAGATGCTATGCAACCCTACATAAACATGGAGTAACCTAATAGTTAACATAAATTACATTTTAACCAGATAAATTTGTAAAAATAAAGGAATTAGCTATAAGATAGATTAAATAGCGCAATCAAAAACTTACAGCTTATTTTTTTTATTAAAACATACATTTTCAAAATGCTACTGAAATACGTCTCAAAACTATTGTAAACTGGAAAAAAAACAAAAATTATGAATTTCAGAATTATCTTAATATAAAACTGACAATCATTACATTCACCATATTGAGGATGATTAACAAAAATTGTATTTTTACATCATACTGCTCTGAAATGTCAAGATCTATACATGATAATATGTAGAACCCCCAAGAAGAATATTGTCCAAGGATTATAACATTTTACCCAAATATATATCTGACACCAATCAGAGCTGAATGATACCAACATTTTTTTGTTAAATTGATAGTCATATAATTTTATCTCAGCACCCTCAAAATGGGAAGTATAATGATCTGTTTTATATTAAGATTATTCTGATATTTCTAATTTTTGTTTTAATTTCTCTTTTACGATAGTTTTGATATATTACAGTATTATTTTGAAAATACACATTTTAATTAAAAATAAGTACAAGTTTTAGATTGGGTTATTCTTTTTACAGTTAATGCCATAATCTTTACAAGTAAATAATCTTTATAAGTTACAAGTTAATCCGGTTAAAATGTAATTCATGTTACCAAACTAGTAGGCTATTCTATGCTTACACAAGGTTAATAGTATCTATTGTTTGAAAAAAATGTTGCAAATTTTATCTTTCCAGATCAATTTAAAATTTGACACCTTACTTATCACTAACTTGTAAATGTTTGTTATAAATGTGAACTAAAATAAAGAGAACTAATATTAATAACTGTCCTCCTAAAGTTATACACCATTTTAATTCTCATAAAAGCCAGCTATGCTAATCTTGAACATTTCAAATGACAAAACAGCTTGACAAGGCTGCTGAAGGAGTCATAATAAATTAAACAATGAATTAAACCAATCAATAATAATTTATTCTCTCGGCAATCCAAGTAATTATCATATTAGATAAATTAATCTAAAATGCACAAAATATTGAATTTATTAAAACTACTAATTGCATTATTTATTAAGGGGTGGAAACTGTTTTAAAAATAAAAGTTCTAAACTTATGGTAAAAGTTTAACTTTCATTTATTTGAGTTCTTAATAATAAATCTCGTTAAATGAGAAATAAACAGCAATTTGACTAAGAATACAGTTATACAATTAAGTATGTAATCTTCAATGAATTCTAATGTATAGTTTATTTGAGTAGCTGAGAATAAAAGAATATTTTTTTAGATAGACTTTATGAATAAAGGAATTGCTTCAACAGAATTTTACAATAAAAGTAATGTAGAACCTTTACATGAAATGTTATCAGGAAAAATTGTTCTAGTTCCGAAAAAAAAAAACTGTTTTTTAAGCTCTGGTATCATTATTTCAAACAATCAATAGAGAGAAAGTTTGTTGGCTTAGACTGCCAACACCTAAAGAGACATTCTTTTGATTTCATGAAACTTTGAAAGACTTTTTAAATAGGTTAATTTAAGAATAAGGTCCTTAAAATTTAGAGGTGATCAGTGTGAAGCTATCTAAACATTAACTAATGATTTCATTTGATAAACTGAAGTTGACAGCGACAAATAAAAACTTTCCTCAAGTTACTTTTGCTGAAAAACTCTTTTTAAGTTTAAAGTTTTTTAAGCTGGCTCCAAGATGCATAGATATCAGAAAATATATCTTTTACTATACTTTTCAAATACTTAAATCAAATTAGTCTAATCTGCAAAATTTAATAACACATTATCCATGACAAGACAACAGGATATAACTACAAAAGCATTATGGCGGAAAATAAGACCAGTTTTATATATATATATATATATATATATATATATATATATATATATATATATATATATATCTATATATCCCATGATATGAAGGCAGGGAGGTTAAGATGCGCCGGGCATGTAGCTCACAGCAATCCATATGGAAGCCTCTACATAACAATGGAAGCCAAAAGACCACATGGAAGGCAAAAAAGCAGATGGATAGGTAGAATCAATAAAGATGCAACAGAGCTGTGTGCAGATAAATGGTAAGAAATAGCCCAAGATAGGCAAAGATGGAGTAGGCTTGTTAAGGCGGCAAAAGATCTACCTGATCTGTAATGCCAACCGAAAAAAAGTAAATATATATTATATATATATATAATTTAAATAAATTCATTCATTCAATTGTTACCACTAATCCAATGATGATTAACTGATGGCATTGTGAAATTAAAACCATAGATCAATGAAACAAATTTATTTATCAAGGATCTGACAGCACAGTATATTGAGACAGTAGAAGGGAAAATTATGACTTATGAAGTCAAAGGGGCAAAGTATATTTAGCTGGAACATTAGGATAAAATAGGTTAATGACTTGTCTTTTCTTCCCTACTTGGTGTAAATAAAAATGTTAAACCAAATATATAACCATTAAATTTGCTTAATTATTTCTTTGATACTTTAAACAAATTTTACCCAAAAGTATAGCCTAGAATACTATTGAAAAATGTTGAGCGGAACTGTGAATAAATACTTAAGGAAATAATGATTTTATTAACATTAATCTATAATACTGAAGTTTTTAAAAATGTTTTGTTACTTATCGGTCTATTAAAAAACTTAAATGCTCTTACAAGTCCCTTAAAGTAATATGGATTGTACTTATAGGACTGCAGATAGATTCCTAACCTTTTTTCTTCGTAACCCCAAACTGCTTAAAACAATTAACAACCCATCTTCCGGTACACTTCTCATCTGTAACACATTATCGGCTGGGTAATGATTTATTGAAAAATTATTTTCGATAGTTTATTGCATTTAAACGAAGTTTCAGTTCAGGGATCTATATCTTGATTCGATTTAAAGAGAAACAGGAAAGTATTAAATCAGATTCATCAAAAATGAACTCCTCTTAACAGAACAGAAACATATTTTGAATTAATTTATATGTTTAAATGAGACTGGATCTCAAAAAGAACTTACTAAATAAGCTCCTGTTGGCTGCCAAAGGAAAAAAAATTATATTGTAAATATTAACTTAAAAAAAAATTTTTTTTTATTAATTGTCTTAATAATCCAATCTCAAAAACAAAACAAGAAAATATTAAAATTCAAACAATAACCTAAACAAAATTAATTAGTTGATCTTAATTAAATATATTAAAGGAAATAAGTTTTAATTTATTTTTTTAATTTTCAACAATATCCAAAAATAAAATTGGTTTCTCAATGTTTCTTATCATAATTTCTTTTCTGACCATTATACTCTTAGTTTAACCTTTTTATTTTATTACGAAAGAAAGAAAAAAATCTTCTATTTTTTTTTATTGGCAGCCAAATTGTAGTTGTATTGTTTTCTGTTATAGTTTTAAACATATTTTTCCAGCCAGTACTTCTCTTGGACTATTATGTTCTTTAGTTTATTTAGTTCCCTGATTACTAAACCCAACTTCTCCAAAAACATATTTCAGAAGACAGCACATTCGGACTATCAAGTTGATGGTTTCCAACCCTTATTAAAATAATTAATAGTTAAAACTATTATTTCTTCGCTAAGGACTGGTTGCTAAGTATAAATATTAGCATACTTTTCGATTTACCTACTGTTGAAAGTTGATAATTTCAAAAGTAAATAAAACGACAAAAAATTCTAGCTTTCTCTTTACCTCAATGTAATGCAGTTAAGGTTAATTTGATTTCACAGCAAACTTGCCAGTTTATTTTGAGACTGATGAAGAGGTTAGAGCTGGCTTGGTTTAAAACTAATGATTCATTAATATTATATAAACCTAGGATTTATCAGTACGTTATTTAATAGGTTAGAAATAACATTATACATGACAGTACAACTTCATTGAAAATATATGACAACCATTTTGAAAATCCATCATATTAGCGGGCCCAACGCATCTCCAGAGAGTGATAAACTTCCCTCCATCACTTCTTTTCAGGTTTTTTTAACATAAGAATCCATTGACAGATATTAAATTATCACAACTTTTAAGTTAACTTACAATTTTACTAAATTAAAAACTTAAATAGAATATTATACAATTTTTAGCTACTAATTGAATAACTGAGTTGTTTAAAAATAAAAATTGACTCCATTGCAACCTTGTAAAGTACTTTATTAGAAGTTTAAACAGTGACAATTTTAACAATGAACTAAGATAAAAACTTTCTGGAATGTTTAATTAATTTATTAAGAAAACCAAATATTTAAAGCTCAGAAAAAAAAATTAAACTAATGAAAAGGATACATTCAGTCATAATAAAATCAAACTTTTTCATAATGCGATAATCATAAGATGTAAGACAGATAGACAAACCTCTTCTGTTTTTAGAATATAAGGACCTTACAGTGTATGTTAACTATATATTTTCACTACTTAACAACTTAATTATTAGTTAAGAATTATTTTTTTAAATTATAATATGTATGAATATATATATATATGATTTTTCCTAACATAATAATTACAACATATGAAGGGGTGGGAATGCTGGAGTTTAATTTTGTTTTGAAATTGAATAATTTCTAAATTTATTTTACTGATATGTATATTTAACAAATATTATTTAAGCACAGAGTATATACCTTAATGCTATATTTATAAGATATATTAATAGATCACATATATAAAATATTCACTTTCTGACCAAAAAGTACTTTTTATTCTAACCCCTTCAAATAAATATTGAAATATTAATACGTATTTATTTGATATATAATGTGAGTTACCTTCGATGAATCTGATTATAAATAATATAGGCTAAGATGATTGGCTAGTAAACAGAGTAAATACATTTCCATTTTATAAAAGAAAAAAAAAAAGTAAAAAATGACAAAACTGTGGCACTGAAAAAAACTTCTTAATTGCATTAATTTTTACTATATTTATATATGTATATATAAAAAACCATTACGAACAATGGTCTTACCTGAATTCTCCTCACAGTATCACGGTCTCGGGTCCTTATCCTCTGCAGAACATTATATTGTTGACGAGAACCAACTTGTGCACCTTCAAGGTTCGGCAATTTCTCATTAGCCAAGAGTGCCTATAATAATCAAAGAAAACAATATCAATATAAGGCTGATAAATTAAAAAATAAACACTTTTGCCTAGATAGATAGATCAATGATATGTAAAAAACATTTATCACAAGTTATACGTCCCTACTGGCATGCTCAATTCAACATTACATTAGAAAAATGAAAATTCAAGAAGAGAAATCATCGATAATAAACATTTTTTTAATAACAGCAGTTAAAATTTTTTTTAATGCGAAGGACTGGCAAAATAATAAGAATTAATTTCTTGATAAATTATGAGAATTGAAAAAAAAAAAAAGATTATGCTAAGTATTTTGTTTTAAATCAATTTAAAAAAAAAAATGAATTTTCAATATTTTTTCATCAATCACTACATGAAATTAAATATTTTAGAGATGGGTATACAGTTTATTGTTAAAATTATAAGAATAAAAATGTCAGTGTGTGCAGTTGAGAATTTCTTTATTGAGTTTGCCGATGCTTCGACCTAAACATGAGGATCATCAGGGTAATGGTCACCAATTGGACAAGAACTCATTGTCTTCTCAACTCTAGAGTTCTTGTTTGTCCTACAAGCCATTATCCTGATGATGATCTACATGTTTGGGTCGAAACATTGGCAAACTCAATAAACAAATTCTTGACTGTACATCCTCACCACTTTTCATCCTGATGAAATTAAATAGATTATTAAATAATATCTGTAACTGAAAAGTTTAATTAACTTAAGAAAAAATTGTTTCACTAGTGTTAATAATAAGATTTACACTTATGTTTAAATCATTGTTAAGGATTTAAAAATGGATATTTAATTTTAATAATTAGTAACTTAACGTTACTTTTTTTTTTTTTGGGTACTCCCCTTCCTCACCTTTAAGGCTATACAGGGTTTTCCGGAGCAGAGGGTGTGGGTGGGAATTTAAAAGACCCCCGCACCGGGACGTGAACTCGTGACTATTTTTAAATCCATTGTCTCATAGATCAGGTTGCCGGGCAACGGGGAACTTAACATTACTTATAATTAAAATAAAAAACATTAATAATTTTTATCAGTACCTCAGCAATAGCGGTATAGAAACTTCTTGCCACACCAGAACCCTCCCCAGGCTCCTCCTTAAACGTTACCTTGACTCTGTTAACAGCCAATGGGGGTTGAGAACCAGCTCGCCTCTGGTGTGAATTGTAAACTGTGTTAAGTTCTTTTAACGTTTGGAAAAGAAGGGATGTCCTATCACGTTCCACCTTTTAAAAAATAAATAAAAACATTTTAAATAATTTAAAATTTAAAGCTTTGTAAGTTAGGTCCTCCTAACTAAAGGTGGGACAGATTGTCAAACTGATAAATGTCAAATTATTAGAAAAAGTTAACATACTTTCGCAAGAGTCAGATCTCTGTTCTGTAGGTTTCTCAGTCTTTCCATATCTCTCCTAAATTTTGCCTCTTTCACAGGAAAACCTCCTAATTCAGAGACGACTGAGCCTGGTTCAAGTCCAACATCCTCCATAAACACCCGACCAAACAGATCAAGGGCTAACCGCCATCGTCCGAGCAAAAGGTCTGCAGTAATCCAACTGCAGATCCTGCAATATAATATACAACAAAATAATCAATAGAGGTCAAAATAAAGTAAGAACTTTATACAAAAAGTAAATAAATAAAATTATCTTTTCATGATTTTGAGGCAAAATTACATTATGATCCTTCAACAGATAATTACAACTCTTTAACAAAAAAAATCCCCGATAAAGAACACATTATATATTTAACAAACCTAGGAAGAGGAGGGAAAGGTTCTTCATCGTCCACTCTCACTCCCATATCATCATCATTGATAGATGCTTCTATATTACACTTTTCTTCTCCGCTTTTACCAGCACGTACGATGACAAGCGGTCTAGTTTCTCTACCTTCTTCGCTGCTAGTAGAAACTATAATAGGAACTCTGGCAACATCTGAAAAACATTAAAATATTTACTGTAACATTATTTAAGAGATTTAATATGATTAAATTAACTAGTCCATAGATATTGAGGTCAATATTAATAATTAATAAAAATACAATCAAACTAACAAGTATATTTGAACATTTTTAATCTAGTTTTTAAGTTAAATAATCCTAAGAAATCAGGAAATGGGGCTACAGTATTCATAAAAGCAGCATAACACAGTTCTCAACTCCCCAAAACACAAACGAATACAAAATCTTCGAATAAAATAAAAGCAACAAATGGGGTTGTCGAGTGTTTTTGGAAATGTCAAGCTTGACTAAAAACTAACTGTAAACAGATCGGACACAAACAAATGAAAAAATGCACAAGCCAAGCTAAATATTTCTTTTACGCAATTGTGTTTGCCATGATTTGGGTAATGTGTACAATGTCTTAAGAGGTAATATTTTATTCTTTTAAAAGTTTTATAACTTTACTTTAAATTTTATTGGTTTTACAATAAAATATTAATCTAAAAATTCTCTTCTTTTAAGTAAAGAATCGGATAACCCTCAAAGAAGTTTGAATCAAACCTGAAATTAACATGAGAAAAAACTGCAAGAGAACAAGATGGTAATAATAAAGATTGTATCTGACTAAAAAAAAAAAAATATTACCACAGCCAATAACCAATGAAACTATGATATAATTTGAATCTGATATTGATATAATTAATTAAAACCTTTTGTATAATTGTATTAGTAAAACTAACCATTACTTTCTTGTTTTGCATCTTCATGATCAATTTCCATATCCGAAGAATCTTCTTTGCACAGATATTTCTCTTGAGAAGCTGAAAAAAACAACAAAAATTTATAAGGAGGTGGAACGACAAATGATAACCATACTCGTATGAGAAAGTAAGATGAAAAATACTGCCTTTCAGTACAGGTATTTCAGTAAGAGGTTTGAGAAAAATTAAAATCATATCCAGTATCAGGCAAAGTATTATTAAAACAGAAATGACTGAAAATTTATCTGAAATTATACATTTCATTGGAAAAATTATTAAAGAATAAACCTATAACTTTTAAAACCTTTTAATGAATAAGAAATTATTTGTTTATTGTTAAAGCATTAAGCAAGACCTGTAAGGTCAATTATGATTAATAGTACAATACAAAAAATAGCAATGATACATGTTTTTGTACATAAATATACATTTCTGCAGGGGAGCCCACAAGGGGGTTTTATGGCACAGATTGCCCCATCACAGTTTTTGAGAGAACACATTTCGGCAGGATTTTGAAATTTTGAAGAGGCCACACTTCGACGGAGTTATGGATTTTTGGATTGAAAATTTACAAACAATGAGTCAAAGGAAGTAGATGGAACAAACCTCAGCAAGTGTAATTGTATATGATTTACAGTACTTTTATTTCTATTGTATTTAAAAAGATTAGAGCAATAAAATATCTCGAGGAGAGGAGAGGGGAGGATCATACGCCATCAACCTTGGGGAGATGGGCACTCCTGCATTTCTGTTTTAATTTCAAATTCTTAAGTACATAATACATAGTAGATATAAATCCCACATTAATTATATTAATAATAATTACCAAATTACATTGCTCATCAAAATAGAATATTTTTAAAGCTTCTTTTGGCACTCTATTTCACTGGGATTCAAGTATTCACAAGACATTACTAGTATTACTTCAAATATTTTTTAGACAAATAGTCTAACAAGAGGTGGATTAGATCCATAAAGCAAAATCTATTGAAATATTCTAAAAGAAGTACTCAATGCAAAAAGAAAAATCTCCCTCCCTTCCATCCTCTACACACACAATGCAATTAAATTAGAATCTGCCGATAATATAAGGCTACAATCCAATTTTTGTTTTCAATGATTTTTATCAATTTATTATTAAGTGTTATCTTAAGTTATTTATATTTTTAAAATTATGTTTTAGTACTTCCAGAAAATTCCATTTTATGTGCCATAAAACAGGGAAACTTGACTCATTGGTAGTAACATTACTCAAAAACTAAAATAACGTTTTCTATGAAGTAAGCTAAAATGAGGGAATGGCTCCTCAATGAAATTTAAAGTTGAAGAGAAGAATGGTTGGGGTTAATCAGAAAAAAAAAAAAATAAATAAAATAAATAAATAAATAAGTATATTTATTATTATTATTAAATTCCACCAAATCACAGAAACAAACTAACAGTGATTGCCAAATTCACAAATCTGTATTAAGCTACTCTTACAGGTCTTGTGACATCTTTCATTTGACCAGCCCTGATGAAGGCCTGAACTTTGAGGCGAAACGCCAGCAAAAATAAAAATAAATATACTCGTTTATTTTTACTTTGTTTTTTTTTTTTTTTTTGGCTGATCACCCCAACCATTCTTCTTTTCAATTATTCACTACAGTCAACCATTAATCCACAATTGAAAAATATAAAGTTATTTATTAAACGGACCCATAGAGGCCAATCATGTTAAAGCATTGCTTGCTTTAACAATTCCTAAGTCAAGCAGCGCTGGTTCATATTTGGCTTGAGTGGGTAACAACTTATTTTGTGGCAGGCTCATGGGATGAACTTTCCCACTCTGGTTAGAATAAATTTGATTGTACCTCAAGAACAACACCGTCCCTCTCCTCTCCTCAAATGCCAGAAATGACAAGAGGTAATTAAAAAAACTAAATAAATAATTTTAATTCTGGTTTAATGCTACCCCAATAAGTAAAGTTATCCTGTCTTTCGGTAACAAAAGACTTATTATCATATTATAGTACTTTGTCTAATCTCTGAGTGATAAGATGATAGTAGTGATACTCATATATTACATTAAGGAGCAATATTAATGGAAAATGAAATTTCAAAACCCATGTTAGATATGAAGAAAATTGAGTGAATAACTTGGAAAAAAAAATGTCTATAATTAATCATAAACATCCCTTTGAAATATTAGTTTAGGACAATAAAAAACGTTAAGTGTAAGAAACTGCTGTTAGAAAATTTCTTGTATGGAACATAAATAACCAACAACTATCGATAAGATGTGAACAAAGGCTATATATATTAACTTATGTAATATTTACTTGTTAATATTTGTAAATATTATGTAAGTAATATTTACTTAAGAAACTAAAAAATTGAATATGATCAATATTTACTTTCTTTTTTTGACTTTTCGTTCAGAGCTTCCTCAGTCCTTAAAGAAAGCCCTAGCCTAGTTGGTAATGGCCCTAGTTGATTTGAGGTACCACTACCTGTAAAAGCAATAAAATTATATTATAGCTGACCCTCACGAACATACTTTGATTGAGAGCAATAGATAACACTTTTTTTAAATTTCATATCTGTTGAAAAGAGTAAAAGTGACATGATTTTCTAATGCCAACTTAATTTAATTAATGAATTAATTAATGATCGAGATAACCACAAATCATATATATTTAGTACATAATGCCAAATTTACAAGAAAAGATTATCACTATCAAAAACTGTGAAATTACTTAAAGTAACAACACCCATTTAACTGATATAATTTAAACTACATAACAATAAATAGAGTTTTTAAATTATCACAATGTACAATAATTATTTATGTAGGAAATTTTCTCTTTCAGAGAAAATGAAATCTCAGACATGGCAAAATTAATTATAATTACATCATATTGATCACTGTATGCATCTAACATAATAATGAAATTAAATTGAATCATGGCTATCAAAAGTAGTAAGAAAACCAGTTCTGTCAACTCAGTGAGTTGTACTGGTAAAAGAGTTTGTTTTTTTTCACTGAAGTTCATTCAAAACTTTTGGAATCACCCCCAAAATACCTTTAATCAAAGATCATTTTTGTTGATACAGTAAAAGTAAAGAAATAAACATACTTGATTGTTGCTCTGGTGCCGGTATCTTAGGGATACCGAACAGCTCATCACGAGTGGCATTAGGTTGCAAAAGATGGGGCTGATCAGCAAGGGGTAGAGAGCGAGCCATAGGAGTGTCAAAAGGATCTGGAGCAGTGCAGCCAAGACAGAGAGTAGAATCAGATCTCTGGAAGAAGGGATGCCTGCGACCACGGCCAGCAAGTCCAAGTGGTTCTGTCTCATCTGTATCTTCACCAGCTGGAGGTGTAGCGGCAGGTGGAGTACCGCTTGGAGTTGTGCTGGTTCCTCCAGCAGCTGCACTGCTTCCTTCCTCTTCACCTTCCTCGTTCTCGTTCTCATCCTGTTGAAGAATATGAAAATCAAACATCCAAAAAAATTCTTTTACCAATATTAGAAATAAACAGATTGAAGAAATTTATAATCTAATTTAAATATTTTGTTCAAAAATCATAATTATTAAGCAGTAATGAAAGCAAACTATTCTAATAATAGCCAAATAAAAAATGTGTAACAGATAGTGCATAGATAAGTCTTGATTATCTGCAAGATTCTATGGTATCTTCAAGCATTTATCATTAAAGCATATTAATAATGATAATTTCATTTTTTTTTTTTTTAATTTCATTTTGGTAACTTTTAAGAAATAGTTCTCTATAACTTTTTTTTAAAAATTATTAATCAGGATCCATTATTTAGAATCAGTCTAACAACTGACAACATGGTTGGATGAGATGTTACATGAAACATTTATTTCTCTTATGAAAGAGGATGGTATGTGCTTATTATTGTCCTGAAGCATTCAAAACCTGATTCTTGATTAATTGCATAATTTTTCAGAGTATTGGATAGAACATAGCTTTTAAAAAATTAAATGTATATTCATTTATTCACATCATTGATTAATAACAATTATTTCTCCTATCAGAGTTTTACAGAGTATTTTTAAATAATACGGGTTAATTTTCTATCAATACCTCTGCTAGTAAAGGAATAGTGAATAATAAAGATAATTTACTTTAGGTAATGAGGTTCAGGCAGTTTAAGATTTACTCACATCATTGATTAATAACAATTATTTCTCCTATCAGAGTTTTACAGAGTATTTTTAAATAATACGGGTTAATTTTCTATCAATACCTCAGCTAGTAAAGGAATAGTGAATAATAAAGATAATTTACTTTAGGTAATGAGGTTCAGGCAGTTTAAGATATGCAAGGACTGTAAAAGCCAACCTAAAAAAGTCATAAGTTAATGTAGCAAATAATAAAAACAAGCTTACAGGTTGAGCCCATGTTTGAGGCAAAAGCGTTTCATCGATAACAGGATTTTGGTCCGTTCCTGCCCTAAGGAGATAAATAAGGGCATCAAAAACATAGGCAATATGCCTCAAAGATGAGACATCCAGAACAGGGAGAGAATCAGCATGTTCAGAATTGTGGCAACGCATCAAAGAAAGACAATACATCAGAAGTTCCCGCCGAGCAGAATGAGCATCAACTTGACCTGAAATTAGATTGAAATAACTACTTATCTGTTCAAAGGCAAATTAATGCAAAATAAAAAATACACTTTAAAGATCTACAAACTTTTAACTGGAAAGATATCATATATAGTAGGATGAAATCACAATTAATATGATAAATAATATTTTTTTTATATTGGATCCTTGCATAAAATAAATCAGTAAAAAAATAATAATAATAATAAAAATGGCAAGTTAATAATATTTTATTTATTATGAGAGCCCAAATATACACCAGGTCACCAGTAAGTTCATGTAGATAGATTAGCCTGATTCACAGTTCTAACACTGTAGGTGAACCATATCCACACATCAGTCAAACATAATAAATAAAACAAAAAAAAACATTTTAAATGGTCTCAAACAGAAAAATAATAACTATGACACTATAAACCACCAACAGTCAAGCGCCCGAACGTTCAATTATGTTTTTTTAATATGTAAACTGTAAGAATATAATTTATTTATAAAAAAAAAAATCCTTCCAGTCAAACTATTTTAATAATAATAATTGAGAATTGAGAAAACAGACAGTTTGAAATAAATGAGAAAAAAGGAATCATCGGGTTATCAATACAGTGATTCATAATCTCTCCTGGTATAGTCCAGAAGTCCAATATATAAAATACAGTTAATAAGACATACATTTTCTAATAATTTTAAAAATTAATATCAACCTCACTTGTCACAGAAAAACTTTTCACAAACTTCTTACTAACTAGCTAATTAAATTTTGATGCAATAATGAATTACATCACAATAACTAGCCCATAGAATTTAAGAATAAAACATATGGTCAGGTTGTAACCTGCAGGTGAAACAGATGAAAAAAAATCCTCACATAAAATCATGTCCGAAAATTTATATTTTTTTATTTCAAAACAAACTCGTATTTAACAGCTTTAGTGGACAGTAAAAACAAATCGTTAAATTTATTACAAAAATTTACTACTTATTTTACTGGAAATATCTATGGGTTTTTGTAATTTTTTATACCTTATAATTCGCTTAACACAATTAGCAATACATTTAAATTCGAAAATATATTCAGAAGTAATTTTCTTTCTACAAAAAAAAAAATAATTGAAGATATATCTTTTTATATTACTATTTAAAAGTATTACAAACAATGTTTGTCTTTGAATTATTAACTGGAACAAATCATGGTTATATGAGAATATAAGTAATGGTAGAAAAATTGGGCAAAACCCGAAACAACATAAATTATAAGATTACAATTATTTGTTTTTTTCATAACCCTTCAACATTACTTAAATAATATTTATCAACATATATTTGTACAAATTAAAAGATTATGATATTAGTTCATCCATATTTGTTTCTGAGAGATATCAGAGCTAAATACTTGAGATAAATGTAATGGTGATAAGCACTTCAAGAGAAGTTTTCAACATAAATGTGAACCGCAGCTTTAGTTATGGCGAAGGACCTTTGCAAATGGGTTTAATTGACAGCAAATTATGTCTTTTATTTAATTTTTTTTATATAAACAGTCAATTAGTTAATTATTTATGGAATATGCTACTTCTGTCGTTAAACCTGTGGAGGAGGGGAGTGTCCTCCAATATTATTAGTAACCTCTGCTGATTTTTTACAATTCTACAAATATATTCTAGAAGTATAAACCAAACATTCTAACCAGAATGGGAAAATTGAGATTTATTTTGTGGGTCCACCACAAAATAAATTTTAATCAACCCTAATTCCTAACTTTGGCAATTTCCATCATATCCCAATGATTTTTGTATAAAATCTCTAGAAAGACATAAAGAGGAAGTCCACATTATACATTAAATTGTGCTCAAACCAGAACTTAATAAATATTTTGAGGGACAAAAGTAAAATTTTAAAATAGAATTTAAGGTAAAAGGTGCTCCAGTTGTCAAAGTATTTATAGTTTTTCAATAATCCTTTGAGTATGGAACAACGTGATCTGGATTTTTTTTTTTTTACTGTCAGTAAGTTTAATTAAGCAATAAATAACTAACAAATGGCTTAAATAACAAAGCATTTTATGGATATTATTCTGAAATTTATTTTTAGGGGGCGGGGTGGCCGAATAGGCTAAAGCGCGTGTAACAGCACCGCTAGTTGCCTGGCAACCGGATAACAGAGATTTGAGATGATATAAAAAGTACGAGTTCGCGTCCCGGTGCCGGAGGGGATTTTAAATTTCCCCGCCCTCACCCCCCGGCCCGGGAAAATCCCGTATAGCCTAAAAGGCGAGGTAGGGAAGAACAAAAAAAAAAAAAAAAAAAAAATTATTCTGAAATACATTGCCCATTATTAACTATTTAACAAGCATTTAACTTAAAAGCTAAATTAGACTTCATAACTTAACTATTTTTGTTAATAAAAAAATTGATATGGATTTATCCGGGAACTTGAAAATTACTTTTTTTTTTTTTTTAAATCATCTGTAGACATAATTTTGTCCTATATCAAGATAGCGAATTCGATACATATATTCCTTTAAACAAATGATTTATGCATAAGTCATTCTGCCACCAACTCCAATCAATATTTAATAACATGCAGATAGAAAAAAACAAAGAACAAATCAAGAAAATTATTATATAGATATATCTGAAAAGCAAAGTAAAATTAACTTAGTAAAAATATAATTGATAAGATTTATAACTAAATTCAGTTATCATTCAAAATGCCATTAAATGTCAAAGCAGCCAGCCTGCTAAGGTAGTTTTCTTATTTGTTATCAAGAAATAAAAAACAAAGTCAAGGGCATTAAAAAGAGATGAAATTAAATTTGCATGCATCCAATAATTATTAGCAAATAAGAATGTGTAAGAAATTGGGGTATTTTTAATACAGGAAAATGTATATTATAATAACAGTGTAGTGAAGGAGTAAAGTACAGAATCTAATAAGATTTGTTATTTACAAATATTATTAAAATAAAAAAACAGCTCTAAGCTATCATACTTTAAAATCAATGTTAACATTGATGTTATGTTAATATATATGATATATTGATGCTAACATGTTAATGTTAACAAGAATAAAACCATTAATAAATAAAAAATAATTAAAATATTAGAATAATTAACATTTAAGAATTTTAATTACAATAAGCCAAACTATACTTAATATAATACTTCGATAACAAAGAGAAATAAAAAAAATAAAAAAAAAATAAAAATCAACCTTCATAACTGAACAAAAAATATGAAGTGTTGACTACACTAATAATAATTTACCGCTAAATTAGGCAAAAATATTAATGGATACAAAATTTTAAATAACCAAAGCTTGAGCTTCGGTTTTTCTTCAAGCTTCTTGATGAAGTTATCCCGGATCAAATTATGAGTAAATAAAAGCTCATTGACAAAAATGTATTACTTTTACTGACAAGTACTCATCATCTCACTATAATAATAATTAAAAAGCATTATATTATTAAAATTATTTTAAAGAGTAAAACTGAAGTGAAGTAAATATGAATAAGATATCTGATTTTTAACAGCAATTAAGATGAAGTATTATAATTTTTCTCTAAATGTCATGTATTTTTCAAATAAATAATTCGTTAAGTGAAATACTCAAATAAAATAACAAGATGTATTAAAAATAAGTTGTAATATGGAAATAAAAAATAAATTTAAATAAAGGATTTTGAGGAAAGTTCAGGTAAGAGGAAACCAACGAGAACTCTAGGAAACTATTAAACATAGACAAGAGAGGAAGATGAGAAAAGAAATCGTACCGTCACGGTCTCGGGGGGGCCTTGAGGAGTCTGAGCTGCTTGTAAATCTTTCCACGATCCTTGCTGCAGGTGCAGATGAGGAAGAGCTGGCACCAGTCTGCCTAGGAGTAGAAGTTGGAGGCATGTCTCTGCCTCCTGCTCCACCTCCATTTCTACTGCTAGCGGTTGCGCCACTGCTCTGCAAAACTGATGGGGCGCTCCAGCCACCTGAACACAACCACAACATACCATACCGACCAATCGTCAACATCTGCCTTTTTCCTCTCTCACTTTTCACTCCTTTCAATCAATTCATCAACAAAAGTCGCATATCAATAGCAACTGGATAGCACAACCACCAGAGGAATAGTGAGTGATGGAAATGGCATATTTTCAAGGAAAATATCAAAACCATAAAAAAATACACTTATAAATTCTCTGGCATATGATAAGTAAAAAAATGCAGTTACAAAAGTATTTTTTTTAAACTATGAAAAAATACAATGTAATAAAAATTATGGGTCCTTATCTACAAAATGATCAAAACTTCTTTTTAATAGTTCGGCAAAAAAAAAAAACAATATTTAAGAACTAAGTTTGAGAAATAAATCATCCAAAAAACTAGGCCTGACAAAATAGTCAATCTTAAATGGATGTGAGAAAAAAAAAAATTAACTAATAAATAAAAATGAAAGCGTAACAAGGACAGAAGTTGGTCTCTAAAATAATTTGAAGCCAACAGTATATGGAACAGAAGAAAATAAAAATCACACTACAGCACATGGTATAAACTAAACAATGACCCTACTTCTTCCATCACCTTTTATACTTAAAACTGGGGCTTCCATAACTCAAAATTATCCTGCCTTCAAAACTTTAATGGTTGTAAATAAAATTCCTACTTGACATCACCAAAATAAGTTTCTAAAGAATATTCAAGAAGACATACCAATAATATAGTTTCTAAAGAATATTCACTACCAAATTAACACAAAAATTGAAGGATCAGGTTCAAATAAATCAAAGCCATCTTCCATCACCTATGATAGGTATTGTGATGAAAAAAAAAAAAAAACTCAATGAAAATGGTGGCAAAAAAACAAGAAATAAAAAGCAGGGCGACCTGATGAGCAATTGAAAACAGCAAAATGAAATTAATGTATTAGTACTTAACCATAAGCAAATTAGCAAAATTGTTTATGACCACCACCTTATTACTTCTTAGAACTATCTAGCCTTAATTGTATATTGTTTAATTCAAGTTACATGGTAAAATGCCTCAAAATTTAAATTAGTGTTAAACCATCAGTTTAAGATCCAGAAAATATAAAGAAAAGAATTATATTTTCATGAAAAATTAAATAAAACATGAAATGATTGGAGCTGGTAGGCAATTACATTTTATCGATACCCTAATTCAATTTATACCGCTTTAACGATCAATAATATTTCAGTTAATACTGAACACATTAATACCTCATAAACTGAACAACCTCAAAATACATTCAACCCAACTTACTAATACATCCTTATGCAAGGAGCTAGAGATATACACAAACACTAATCTAAAGCACAGAAAGTTCATACAGTGATTGATAGAAAACAGAGAGAGTATTCATTTTATGAATGTTCCGACAATTAGTAACTAATCTTGAATTATTTCAACAGCCTCATACAAATACAAAAGAATAGGCTCAGAAGGAATATTTTTTTTCCTTTCCCATTTTGCCTGGAATGAGATTTTAAGATATATACACTTTTTTCTGAATATAAATATGGTATGATTCACAAACTGAAAGTTAATAATGTAATCGATAAAAATGTAATGTAAACCGCTTTTTGCACTGTCTCTTAAGTATTACTATACAGGCAATGTGTTTTGTAGGAAGGAATCTACAAAATTCTTTCAAGTGAATTCAAGGGTGTTATGAAACCAGAACAATTGTTTATGAATATATATCACAAAGACTATATGATGAGGAGCTCCATATCAAAATGTATTTTGTCCATGTTCTGAAGAAAATTCATTTTTGGTAAATTATTTTAGGAAAAAATAACTGATAATTAAAAAACTTATGAAAAACATACAGAGTAATAGAAGCTTGTTATTCACATTAAAATTAATTTTGTCCATGTTCTTGGTCCTGCATCAAAATGAATTCCGCAAATGAAAATGGAAAAAATGCACATATGCATGGTCCTCATATAAAAGCAGAGTATATTCGGAATTTAAATTTTTATACAGAAGCTAGCATTGAAATAGCATTGTTTTAAAGTTAAATAGTTTATTAAAAAATAACATATTTATTAATTACTTTTATTTAAATAGAAAGTACTAGAAGAATGAACTGACTTAAAATTGAAAAAAATAAATAAAACTATGTTAAATAATGAAAAGCTGTTCAAATAATGGCCTGTCAGTCCAGCATTGAAAAGAATAATTTGAAGAATAATTAACTTAAATAAATTTTCAATTTTTATTCGTCAATGAAGATTAGGTTATAAAAACAAAAGTGCAAAAAGTTCCAAATTTTTCTGATACATATTTGCAAAGATAATTGGTGTTAAAGAAAAGATTTTTTTTTTTTATTGTATGCTAAATGGCTTTTCCAGTACTTAATATTAATACAAAAGTTATTCTTTAATATATTTTTTAAAATCATACTCACCCTTGTGAACTGTTTAAAGATATAAAAAATTAGAGCACATCATCTCATGGATCAATTATATTTGAAGTGAAAAAGTACATAAGTCAATTAATATGAAAACATGATGCGCGGTTAATATAAAAGTTTTCATTCAATTAATTAAATGAAAATACAGTGTCGGGAGTCATTAGGAACTTCCCAGAAAAAATAATAACTATGATTTACCTACTTTTTTGAAATCACACGCATATGATTAAAATATAATTAATATATAATATGTAAGGTAAAATATACCACTTGTGAACAGTGGTCAATCATTCCAGAGTCAAAACTTGTAGATATAGTTTTTCTATACAGATATAGAAGCTTTCCAACAAAGCAAATTTAAAAAGATATCAGTTTCAGTTTCAAAATATACAAAGATTTTGAAAATATGTAAAGATTAGATTTTTAATTTGTGTATGTACTAAGGAATTTAAAGCTCTTATGTATGGCAAGAAAGGCAGGAAAAATGGATTACCTAACAGGTAACCAAGCTATTCTAGTCAGTGCTGAGGCTCTAAATATATTCCACGAGTCCACAACAAAATAAATTTCAACTCCTTCAGACTATATTCGAACTGAAGCTATTTAAGAATCAAAAGTGTTGAAGTGACGCCTTAACCCAATTGGTATCCAGGGCCTTAGCTTTTATAATTTATTAAATACTAATAGGCTCATGCGAAAAATTCGCACAGCATATTGTTATCAAATGCCAAATTAATAAGAAAATGCAACTTATCAAAAGATTAAGACATCAAATGTTACTTTATCGATAAACATAATCCACAAAGCAAACAAAAATTAATTTAAAACTTCATTTTGGTTTGGAACCAACATGTATACAAATTTCAGTAAGCTGTATATTAGCTAAAAATTGTCCGATTGCGATGATTTTTTTTTTTCTTTTGTAGGGAATTCAGTAATGTTTTATATAATCATGGAAATAACCGAGGGAAAAGTGTGTAATTTTTCAGTTATTCGCAAATAAAGTTTATTTTCTTTCATAACTTGTTTGCCTGAATTTTCTGGGTGATTGGACTATTTTGCCAACCTGAAGGAGAAGGAAGCCTTCGAAATTGGTGGCTCAATCTTGAGATTTGGTGAAAAATTAACGATGATATGGCTTGCCGATCAAAAACACCATCGATGAATAATATAAACTCCCCCTCTCTCGATCATAGAGACCTCAAGTCGATTAAATGAGACATGTATCCAATGACAGTACTACAATTAATGTAAGGTTGTGTGGATGCGAACCCTATGCCTTGCGTTATCTCGAAAATAGTACGTTTTTCGGCTTAAAAACGCAGGATCCGATAGTTCTGAAGGAACTATCCGGGCCTTGCTGTACGCATCAAAATCTTTAAGATCCAATTTGTCCCGAATCGATCTACAGACCTACCACCGTTCCAGTATCGAAGCCTGGCAAAACGTTTGTATCAACTTTATTTATTTTAGAAAGAAAAACAAAAGTGGAGAATACGATTCACTAACCCCCATAAAATTCTGAATCCAACGGTACCCTATTCGTGGTATTTGAGCATGACAGGAGCTTATATTTGGTACAAAACCGATTTCGAGCCTTACTGTAATAATTAAGTACGGATAATTTACATCTTTTGCAGAACTCAAAAACTCTAAAACATGTATGATGTTTTTTTTATTACAAGTAAACATTATAAGTCTTTTTTCCCCTACATTTAGTAGGGGGTTTGGTTTATAGTTAAATGAGTAACACAAGAGCGCAACATGAAATTTAAAAAAAAAAACGAACAGTATTGAAGTTTTTTTTAAATTTTAAAAGTGTTCGTCTGATTCCCTGAGCTTAATTATTAGAAACTGAAATATAAACATACATATATAAAATCTATTCCAACACAAGTTTGCGATATCACTAAACTGTCAGGAGCATGTACAGTACAGCATATTTATTCTGAAATCTATACCACATGTGCACTTAACAGTTTGTTGAACATCAAAACTAATGTTGGAACAGACGTTTTAGATAATACTCAGGTGTTGAAGATTGTGTTCATTGAATATATTGCCAATTATCGATCGAATATTAATAAATATCTTACTTGAAGAGTGGTGGAGAGGATGATTTGGGTGGTTGGGGTCAGATGAGGTAGTAAGTGAAGCACCGAATCTGAGTTGAGCTTCTGTTGAATCCATTACTGTCATCAACCAATCCCAAGTTGGCTTCAGCTGTCTTTCGACATATTTCTGTAAATTAATAAACATGTATTTTAATTTCAAAGATCTAATAACAATAATGAAGTACAGTGATTTTACTTGAAAAATCAAAAGATCTAGACAGCACTGAATCGAGTTCTAAAAATTCTACCTTCTGGAACTGTTCATGCCTTCTGCAACTGTATATAATGTAAGGGTTTCCATGGACCAGTTAAATTCTAGTTTAAGGATGAGAATAGCCGTCTGTTCTTCCAGCTTGTTAATAAGAGAAGAAAGCCCATTAAATCTCAAGCACATGCTTGCAAAGCAGATGATGGTTCTCGTTATAACGGATAGGGAGGCGGCACTGGATAGATGGGCCAATTACTTTTATGCACTTTTAAACAGAGAGATATTAAGCGAGTACCCGGAGGAATATTTGCAGAACGAGGCACTGAGTGGAGATCATATTGACCCACCTGATGAAGAGGAGATCCAGGAAGCTCTGTCAAAGCTCAAGAATAACAAGGCCCCAGGTGTAGAGGATATATCACCCGAAATTCTGAAGCATGGTGGCCACAAGCTTAGTATGTTTCTTAAAGATCTATTTCTGAACATTTAGAATGTGGAAAGGTTTCCTTTGGAATGGAGGAAGACCGTCGTAATCCCTATTCCCAAGAAGAGTGATGTCCTGGAATGCAACAACCATATAGGAATATGTATCCTTCCCTGTGCCTACAAGGTGTTATTTAAGAGGCTGCTCCCCTATGCAGAACATGAAATAGGAAAATACCAGAGTGGTTTCAAATCAGGCAGATCTACGACGGATCAAATTTTCACTCTCCGTCTGCTTCTTGAGAAAACCAGAGATAATGGAATTAGCACTGTATTTGTGGACTTCCAGCAAGCATATGACTCTGTAAACAGTAATGAAGTCTACAAGGCTATGATCGATATGAAGATATCTCCAAAACTGAAAGATTCATACACATGACAATGGAGAGTAACCTGTGCTGTGTATGAATGTTCGGGGATCTCTTAAGAAGCTTCAACATGGGGACTGGAGTCTGTCAGGGCGATGGTTTGGCCTGTCTTGTATTTAATTTAGCCCTTGAGACAGCCATGAGGAACTCTTGGTATTCAGACCACAGGGACACTTCTAGACTTGTTCAGATACTTGGATATGTGGAAGATTTGGACCTTAGTGAAAGGGCACTGGAGGTAGTCAGGTTTTTGAAGCTCTGGAAGTAACAGCAGCACGTGTGGGGCTCCTAATAAACACAGATAAAACAAAGTATATGTGTGCAAATCCAAAGCATGATATCCGGGAAGGCTTTGTTTAATTAGGCTCACACAAAATAGAAGTGGTACAAGAATTTGTCTACTTAGGCTCCCAAATGAACTACCAGAATAATATTGAGGAAGAGATGGACAAATGTATTATGGCTTGCTAAACGGTTTTCCTTCGCACTTTAAAAGCAACTCCGGTTTAGACACTTATCAAAATCCTAAAATTGCGATAGGCAAGCCAAGTCGCTAGGATGAAACCACAGGAAATTCCATCCTTCATCTCTCACATAAATTTCATGGCTTTAAAAATACTGAGTCCTCAGAACAATTTTTTTTTTTATCTTTTGAACAAAATTTTTGGTTTGCTGAATCAAAAGATGCCAGTTTTAGGTGCAGAAATCTATAATCAAGTTTACTTCACAATTTAAACATTTTTAAAAATGTATTTGATTGATAAACATTATATTTTAACATGTTTCCTGCTCTAAAAAAACATTTTTGCATTAGCAAACCCATATAGATATAACGAGATAAATAATAGAACAGATTCAGCACATTTTATTATTATTTTTTTAAACCTCATAAATTAGATGAAACAGACCAGACAATTTGTTTATCAAAATCGACAAATAACACATCAAGAACAAGGGTGTACCTTAAAATACTATTATAAGATTTGCTTGACTACTTATTTTAATTTATTAAACTAACTACATGACATGCTAGAAAGATGTATAATTCCTGATTATTATCTCTCAAGAGTGACATACCATATAAAATTTTATCATCCAGCTCATTCAATGATTTATTACAACATATCGATAAGTTTTGAATTTAAATTATTTATTAATATAACTTAAAATACAGAATCTAATCATGATAAATATAATTCTCACCTGAAGTTCAATGCATTCCTCATAGGTGATAACAAGGGAATTCTCAGAAGGTACTGACATGCTGTGTGTCCCACCCAGAAGATCAGCAATCTGCCGCAGAACAATGGCAAAACTGCGGGCAAGGCAGGCTGCAGTTGTTGTCATCGTAACGCCATCTTGCGTTGAGTTGCCACTCGAAGAGTTGTTGTTAGCTGAACGACGGAGGGAAGTCGGATCAATAAAGACAAGAGAGTTCCCAGAAGCTACGCGGAAGCCTAAGAAATTGTGTTTAGCATATATGGCACAAAATTCAACTAAACATAAAGTGATACAAAAGAACTTGGTTCACAAACAGTGATATATTCAAATTGGTTCTTCATCCTTATGGATTCCAAAAATGTTCTCTTAACTAAATAATTTTTTTAACTAAGGTGAATAATTAATTAAACATACCTGAAGACCTGGAGTTAGTATCCCGGCTTCTGATAGCCCACTGCATTGATTGAGGAGCTAGATTACTCCTTTGACCTTGACCACTCGAACTCCTATTACAAAGAACCAGTGTTATAATTTTTAAATTTTAATATGTCAGGTTTAAACATTAAAAAAAATTTCAAAAAAATATTCTTACGTTCTTCTTTCAAGTTGTTCATCAGCAAGCACCATTTCTTCCTGATCTAAACCTTCACTTTCTGCATCTGTTTCCTCCTGCTGACTGGAATCTCCACTTTCATCTTCTCCTAATAACATGAAAAAAAAAATTAAAAGGGAAGGAGCCCTCTTCAAAAATAAATAAAAATTAAAAGTGGTTGAATATTTTTTCTTTTATTTTATTAATTGAATATTAATGCATTCTGCCACATTGAAGGGCACTAATTAAAAATTAAAAGTAGATCTTAAATCCGCAGATAACATTACTTTTGGAAAAGTAAAAAAAGAAAAAATCATAAGAGAGAATATGAATGTAATTTAAATAATTAGTGTTAAATACTCTTCTTTTGACATGTGTACCATAAGTTATAAATATCCTAATTATTCAATCTGATAAATTTAATTGCAATATACATTAGATGATGAATTAGCAAGAAATATGAAGATGCTTACCAGTCGCGGGTGGTGTATTAGATGGTACATGCTGAACAGTCTCTTGATTACTCTGGTCTGAATCACTTTCTGTTTCCACAAGAAGATCTTCGCTCTCACTCTCAGCACCTTCCCTCTCTCCTTCTCTTTCGCCGGTCTCTCGCTCCGTTTCTCTCTCAGCTTCACCCTCACTTCCCTCACCATCATTAGCTAACGCCACTAAACCTAAAGCCATAGAACCACTTCACACTCAATGACAACATAACACATAATTACTAATGTAAAAGCCAGCTAATATTTTAAAACACAAGAGTAAGTAAATAGTATTAAGGGCATCTCTAAAAATATATTAATCTCAATAAGATTAAGTATTTATGAAAACCTGAACATGATAAACTCTACCTTCTTTAATAGTTAAACAGTAAGCTCACTGTGTTTATTGTCACACAGAAAAGTATGTTCTTTCTAAGAAATATTAATATTAATTACACAAAAAAAAAATATGCTAGATATTTTAACAATAATGTTCTACTGCTTACCTTAAAAAAAATGTTTCTGAGAAATATCAGTACTCAAAATAAAACTATATTACACATAATAAAATCGTGTTTGATATTTAATCAATAATATTATGAATATGTATTTTCTGAACCATATATATATATATATATATATATATATATATATATATATAGGTGACAATAAATCAAGAAAAAAATGAAACTCTGAATACGTACTCTCGACCATTTCCTCTTCAATATCCATCAAAGAGACAAGAGGACGTTGTCTAATAGTAGAAGTACTACTACCTTGTGCTTCTTCGTTCCCTCTAGCAGCTTTCTGACCTCTGCGGCTACCAGCAGAGCTCGGTGGAGCTAAAGGTTCTACTGAGAACAATTCCTCAGATCCCTGAAAACAATCGATAAGGAAAAACCATATTATTTTTATGATACAAGTTGATCGTTTTATATCAAAATATGTTTGTAACTCACTTCAATAGATGATGTAGAAAGAGTAAAAGGGGGAGTTGGACGAGCTACTCCGAGCCTGACAGGTGCGATGAGGCTGTCAGCTGTCTCACATAATTCTTCAACTGCTATCTTCGTCAAAGATTGAAATACCTTTTTACATTTCATGATTGGCCCAGTTGCTCCGGTTACCCTGGTCAGATAAGCTCTATTAATAATTAAAGTTTATTATTAAATAATTTCTTTTAAAATAAAATATATACTATACTTTACACCACATGCCTATTAATTATAACAATAGTGTAGTATTTAATTAATTGGAATAAGAATAAAAATATATTATAGAAAAACTAGAATCTCATTAATTAAAAAAAAGGGGCAGTATTATATTATATTACAGTCAGAACTTGAAGTAAACTACCTAAACTAAGTGTGGAGATGTGATGATTAGCCTTATAATGTTGGTGAAACAACTAACCTTATATTTTTTTTGTCCTTTAAGTCCTCGCCTTTTGGTCCATATGGGTTTTTTTTACGACCAGGAGTGAGTGCTAAGAATTAATGGCAGAGTTAAAAGACCTCTGGCACCAGGAATTTAACTCGTAAACTTATGTTTATCACAGATTACCCCAGGCAACACATGTTTTGGCCAAGTTCTTGAATTAATTTTGAAGATCTACTTTTGAATATTATCCTGATTCATTGTGACAGACAGCGCCAAGAACCTGTATGGATACCTATGTATTCTCATGGGATTAATGGCAGAGTTAAAAGCCACTTCTCCCAACTCCCGGCACCAGGATGCGAACTCGTAATTATTTTTATCAATTAATCTACTATCAGGTTACTAGGCAACGCGGTGCGGTGCTGTGCACACACATTAGCCCACTCAGTCACCTCGCCCCAACAATCGATCCATTGTCTGAGAAGTTTTAAAAAGACAATTGGTCTACTCTGACAGAGACTATAGCCATAAATTAAGGAAGACGTAGATGCCCAACCTCCATCTCCATAGCTAAGAGTTCAACTCTTTAAGATTTAGGAATTTTCCACCCCATTAACTTTAACATTATCCTTATTTTCCTTTTAATAAGTGAATACTTAGGCATCTCAGGCATTAGGTCATTCAACACATCACTCAATAAATCTCCGGTCTGACTTAGAAAAACAATTTTTTTTTTTTTAAATATAATATTCAGTATTGATAGTTTAGCCTCTCTCAAGATAGTCGATGAACAAAATTCCATGCACATAATCTTCCCAGCTGACTTTTGAATTTATGGACACTATCGACGACTTTTACTGGCTGCTTTCCACTCAGCTGATCTTTTTGATTCAGGTGGATAGTGGTGGATTTGTTACATCCATTGTCACATACCAGGGCAAGAAATCCTTTTTACTTAGCTTGAACAGCTCCAAACAGCGCTTTGAATCATCAAAGTGTTGTTGTTTCTGGTCTAGTGGGTATGACCAAACGCGGCATCCGCTTCAAAAGCAATTTGCGCATGCCCAAATTTTCTTGTAAAATTGTAAAGAACTACCTTTGAATATCTTCAAGGTGTCAGCTATCTTACACAATTTCATTTGATGGTCTGGTACAGAACACCTGCCGATTTCAGGAAACCAGAGTGTTCAGCATCTTTGGTGCCTGTACAACGGCGTTAAAATTCAGCATACAAGTCAATAATAGTTGATTTCCCTGATACATAGCAGCCATAATGCTTATCAAGCCATTGGTTGGCTTGAACAGTTTTTTTACCCATCAAAAAACAGTGTTTAATCAACATATGAAATTTCTTTCTATCCATTATCTTGAAAATTACAAAACTGGGGTCACTAAAATGACTGTAGCATATAAGAAGCTAACGGACAGTATGTCATGAAATTTTGACACGTACTCTCTGGAGGTTAGTACTACCCGGAAATCACGTTAGTCTGTCAACAATGTTGCCATCTAGAGAACTTATTGAGTGATGTGTTAAGTTAAGAGAGAAAAAATAATCTGAATAAATAGATATTTAAGTCCAACAGGTTAAGTGGGTACTTAAAACATTTTTATTCTAATTCCAATTGAAATATTACTGCATACAAAATAAATCCAGCTTACTTTCGCTTGCTTGCTTGTGGTGCCATTTCGACGCTGAACACAACAAATATCCTGGCCACGGATCTGACAAACCTTCTAGTAACAAGAGCAGCTTCTTCAGCTCTTCCTGGAATGGATGTATTCTGCAATTCCCTAGTCAATGTAGCAACAACACTTTCAACCATCTGAAAAAAAAAATAAGAAAAGGTTTGATTGATATTCGATACCTTCATTATTATTATAACAGCTAATTATAAAACTAATATATTTTAATAGGAAATATATCAGCAAAAGACCATCATCAGGAGTAGGATAACTTTCCACAGAATTGAAATTTCTGGCAAATATACATATATAGATTTATCAATGAAAATAGATTAGTTATTTTAAATAATGGCATCCATGAACTTTCTTTTTTGAATTTAAATAAAATTGTAATCATCAAAGTTATTTATTTGCATAGTTAAAAAAAAAAATTAAATTAAGACCTTACTGAAGTTTTAATTTTAATAATCATAAAAACATGAATTAGGCTGAATGAATGCTTACAATTGAATTTAAATCTAACAAATTGATAAAATAAAATTTTAATTAAAAAAATTACTTATGTTTCTTTAATGACACATTTAAAAATTATGAATACTTACTTCAGAACCACATTTCACAAGCAAACAATGAGTAAACTTGTCCAAAAGAGCACTTCCACTTTGAGCATGCAGATAAGCATGTTCTTCATAGTAAGGGTTCTGCCGCCAATTTTTTTCTTCTTTCACACCTAAAAATACGAAGAAAAATTCAGAATTGATGGAACTGGTAATGCACTGGGTTTAGGAAACTAAAAGTATAATTTTTGCTTTCTGCATAGAATTTTTTAATTTATCTTTTTCAAATAAGGTTCCATGAAAGAAACTTAGAATTTTAAATGAGGTCAATAGTAATTTGAAGAATCATATTTAAAAAGCAATTAATTTTATAAAAATAAATTGACTATTTTTAGATTGATAAAACTCCTAATGTTTAATTGTTGCATTCTTGGATTAAAAGACCTTTTAAAAAGAAATATAAACTATTATTTTATTGTAACAAATTATGTCTAGACAAACATTGAGGAATCAAGCTAAAAAAAATTTCCCTCCATTCTGAAAAAATTAATTAAAAATATTTCTGCATAAAAGAATATGTTCATGACCGAAGATGTGGCAAAATACCACGTCCTAATTGGAGAATAATCCTATTTCACGCATGAGGTGCATGCATTTTGGTGTTATTGCAGGCCCTGAACACTACTAAATCTATATTGTATAAAATTAATACCTTTTCTCAAATCACTGTGGCTCATATATCAAACTATCATTTCATAAGCATTTAGCATAAATCTGTTAACCAACAAGTGAACTCCACTATTAAATGGGTGAAATTGAGGTCATATCATCATTGGTAGTGAGATACCATTGATAAATTATAATTTGGCACATTCATATTAAGAACAATATTTACTGAAATTGCAATTTACCTGTCATGATCATCCCCTTGACGGCAGGCCAATCGCTGAGCAATCGTTCAAATGCTCTACGGCTGAATCTTGGTGGCTCAAGGTCATGTTCAGGCATATCAGGCTCTAAACAATACAAAAAATATTTCATTTATTTTCAATCAATTAATGGGAAAAAAATAATTTTGTCTTTAATCTATAATCAACCAAAATGTATTTAATCATTAAAAAGAGCTTCTAAATAAGTGTTTTTACTATATAAAGAAACACCTTGGTGGTTTTACATAATACGACACAATGGTGTAGAATGTCAGCATATTTCCTAAAAGTTAATGTTTTATCTATTTAATATGAAGTATTTAAGTATAGTGCAACCCTAACAGTCAGACACAGATTATCAAAAAGGGTATTCTAAATTTCAGGTCATGTCACCTAGGCTTGTCCGATAAGAGGGAAGGTCATTTTCAAATTTGATCTGGTCTACCAGTCACAGTTACCCACTCGTTCAATACATATTCATGAGATTTAAATTTCCTAATTATTCATAGATATTTATACTATAAAAATGTTTTGAACAGTAAAATCCATTTCTATTTTATAAATAATTTAGAATAAAAGAAAAATTGAAAGATTAATGAACTTGGTACTAGATTTACAATATTATATATTTTACATTAAAATAACCTAATCCCGTTCTAGGGGTTAAAACGATACATATACATTTGTACTATTTGACATGAACCATATCACATTCACATAATGTGTACTGTTGTATTGTACGACGTAAACTGTGTCGTATAATGTAAAACCATCTACCATCTTAAAGCCGATGTTTTCTTAAACCAATAAACTCACCAACATCAGAGGAAGGAGTTTTTCGTGTAGTGGCAGAGGCTGATCGTGACCTTGGTGCTCTATACTGCCTCTGTTCAACCATTTGGCGCCCAACTGTTTGCACCAAAAATAATAGAATACTCTCTCCTCTGTGAAAAAGAAATAGAAAAATAATCACAATTTACATCATGTAATAGTAATATTTAATACATTTAATCGTGGCTATAATAGTAATGAATAAGATTGAAAAATTCATTATTCATCAAACTAATTATTCGACAAAACCTTGTTTTAAATATTTTGTGGAACAAAATGAATTAATATAAAAAAACAGAAGCACATTCGAACAGATAGTTCATCTACACAAAAAGAGAAAAATGATAATCATAGAAGACAAAGCGCACTAGCTGTATTGTAAACTAATGTAATGTATCTGTATTGACAAGGCCTCGAGGAAAAATCTCGTGTACACCTTATTAGAATGAGAATACATGGGTATCCATAGATTTGGCAATTTATCTGTCTCTATGTTTCATTATATTCATTAGAATAAAATTCAAAAGTGGATCTTCAAAATTTAAACAAAGTAAGGTCAAAAAATCATAGAAAGTAATATTCAACAATGTAAAATATCACTAAGATGAATACTGGGGTGCATTATGAATCTGCCCCGGACTGGTTAAAATGAAATCTGTGGAGGATCCGCGGAATAAATCTCAACCTCCCAACTCTGGTTAGAATAAGGTTGCTTTTGGAGAGTGGAGACCAAGCAGACAAATGTGTGTGCATAACATGCATTGCCCAGAGCAACCTGTGATAAACCAAAGTTCATCAGTTTAAATCCTGGTACCAGAGGGTTTTTAACTCGTAATAATAACAATCCCCGGGGGCTTGTGAAAACCAGCATACTGTTAAAGACAAAAAAAGGTAGAAAAAAAGGAATGTTTGAATGTACCTCTAGACCCCTTAAACCCTTATAGGCCATAAATGGCAAGGTACGGAGTAATGGGGAAAAAAAAATATATATATATATTGGGGGAAAAATAAATAACTTAAATATGTAGTTTACCAACTGCAAATTGATTCCAAAAGGTTTGATTCAACCGACCACCGACAGTTTTAAGAAATTTTGATTACGTAATCAAAGAAATTAGTCAATCTACCTAGAATATTCACAGAGCAATGTGAGAGTATGAAGCTCATTAAAGTTAAAAATTAGGTGATCCCTTCTGCCTGTATTCGTTCAGCGATTAGAAATAATATTTAAAATAGAAAATATTTAAATATATGTAGCAAATTACTTGGTTATTCTAAAAGATTTGGTATTGTTAGATAAATGTATAGGTGAAATTCAATTAAAAACAACACTGGTAGAAATTAATTCAGACACAAACAAATTGCAACAAAAAAAAAAAAAAAAAAGAGAATCAGGAACATAAAATTTTAGTTTGTTGATAACACATAATGAAAATTGAATAAATAAATACCTTGAATTATGTTTTGAAACTAAATCAGTATGGGTAATAAGACTGGACATCAGCTGGAACCTAGCAGACTGGCTTCCTTGTACGAGAGCTCTACACTTGCATTTCTCCCAACAGTCACAATAAGCAGTAGGAGATGTGCGCTTCAGTTTGCAATCATGCCCACGATGGCAGACACGAGCGCATTCAGTGCAGCAGCAAAGTGAGCCAGTCAAACCACAAGTCCGACATTCGAAAATGTCCTAAACATATTTCAATGATATTAATATAATGTTTTAAAAATCATTAAAATATAAACATTTTACAGATTTCACAGCAGGTCGATATAATAAGATTAGTGATGACATAAAATTTTAATTAGAAAAATAATGTATAAAATAATTATATAATAAATAAAACAATGAATTTTTAAAATCTTTCGAGGTACTCTAATTAGAAGTAGACAACTGACCTGGTTAATATGTTCAGCACCAGTCCAGGTAAAGCTACATGTATCATTGCAACATATGATATGAAGGGGTGACAAATCAGGATTTGAGCCCCGAGGAAACACCATTGCTTCTAATCCTTCCTTATCAATGATTTCAGTATCTTCAGAATTCACCACTAAAAAATAATGGTTTTGAAATTTATTCTTTAATCTAAATATTGACAGTGGGCAATGAAAACCTCACAACTTCATTTTGATAAATTTTACAAGAAAAAAATAAGTGTTCAAAAATATGTATAAGTTGACTTAGTTCCAATATTTTTTTTAATTTTTGGGTCCAATAAATTTTTAAGTAGATGTAGAAAGTAGAAACCTTATTCATAGATTAGAGAAATCCTTGTACTTTCAAATCTTTCATTGCACATAGAGTTCCAAAATTGGAGTTGTCAGGTTTTCATTTCTTAACATCGATATATTTTTCAGTAATATAATAAAAATTAAAGTAAATAATAAGTATTGTGACAATCTCATTCAACTTACACTTCAGTTCAGTATTGTTAGGTTTTGAGAACCATGCTGAGAGCACATTTTTTAATCGTTCTTCAGTTGACGCAGTCGTGTTCGGTGGTGGAGGTGGCGGGGGAGGAGTTGGTGGAGCTTGAGGTTTAGATACTAAAGACAAAATTGTTTCAAACAGAACCAACCCAGCCTGATATGCACGACAGGCCACTGAAAGCATAAAGGGTGTCTGCCCTTGTGCGTCCCTAAACAAACGAAGAGAATAAAAACAAAATTGAAAATAAAATAAAAAGTTAGTTAATAAAAAAAACTTATGCATCAGAAAATAACTTTAAAATAGACAATACTGGACTTATGAATACTTTAGTAAATGGCATGAAAAATATCCTCCCATAAAAATAATTTCAAAAATTTATGTTTTTTTCATTCAAAATGAACTTGTATATAAAAGTTAAAGTGGAAATTAAAAACAAATCTGAATCTTTATTTATAACAAAAATTTACTTGACCTAGTTACTTTACTAGAAGTGTCTTTGGGTGTTTGTGATATGTGATACATTAGAATTCATCTAATACAATTAGCAATAAGTTTTTCTTATTTAAAAAAAAATAAATATATACATAACAAATTAGAAATCCATGCAGAGCGAATTCAAAAAGCAGTAATATAAAAAAAATTATAAAATTTTCTAATTTTTTTCTCAGCTACTAGGGATTCATTGGCAAGAACCTAGGTCTTGGAAATGGGTCTAATATTTTTTTATCAAGTATCATTAAAAAGTTTCATTGGAATAGATGATCCCAAATCCATTACATCCCCTTGTCAATGAAAAAAGCTATGACTTATTTTTTAAATAAAAAAATTATTAATAATATGACATCCCAATTACAATTAATTATAAAGCAGTGCCTAACGATTAATATCATCATTGTGACTAATCAATATCTTTTAATTATGTAATTCATTGAATTTCAAGAAACACACAAAGTACTTACTTGGCCTGTAGCAGAGCAGGAAGGTGAGGATGGAGAGCTGGAGACTCGCATAACATCTTCAGAGCTATAAGAGCATTGGTCCTTCGCTCAGCTGGATCTGGAAGAACAGGGGGTGGTGGAGGAGCTTTCAACCCTTCCCTCAAACCGACCATCAAGCTGTCTTCATCGCCTGACGCAGTCTCCAAGAACGGATCTGGAGGCCAGCCCAGAACAGATTCATCTTGACCTCCAGTCTCATTGCCCTCACCAGCATTGTTGCTTCCAGAACCTGTATAACAAACATTCATCAGTATTTTAAGAAATTATTATTTTAGATTAACTATCATCATTAATGTGATAATTTGGTTTTATTTTATATTTAAGGTTAAACAAAAGTGTCCAAAAATTAACCTCCGCAATTCAGTAGACACATATTTTTTTTTTAGACGAATTATTGCATCCAATATTTATGTTTAATATGATTTTTTTTATTGCCCAATGTTAGTTTGATTTTAAGACCTTAAGTACTACTAATTGTGGATAACTTAAGTTTTCTAAGATTGTAAGGATGATTCATACACATCCTTCACAACTCGTTTCAGTTCTGAAAAAAATTCTTTCATTTCCCAATTATACTTGTTACACTCATTTGATGCACTTTCAGGACACGACTCATCAGTTGTACTTTAGTCAATATCCATAATTTCCGATATATCACAATATTAGTGCTCCCTCTGGATGTTATCGGTGTCCATAACAAAAAAAAATTTCATCCTTGTAAGCTATAGCAATAATCAATACAACTCTTGTTGTGATATCATCAAATATCACAGGAAGTATTGGGCTATCTGCGATTATGAATAGCTGAACCCTCGTGTATGCCTTCAAGAATAACCTGATATTTTTGTTAATCCTCCTTTATTATCCCCTTACTTCCTTTCATTTACCATATGTATAACATTATTATTATCCGAATTACTAGTTTTGAAACTACAAAGCTACTTTGAAAAATTGTATTGACAACACAGTTGACACTCGAAAAATTCTAAATGTTACCTGTCCTGACAGCAGCAGTTGCTCTCCTCATCATTTCTCTGATGCTGACAGGTCTCGATGACCATGAGATGACATTACTTGTGTCTGTGGTAGTACCGCTTGTAACAGTGTTTGGCATTTCTGATAAAACATTAAGTAGATCTATGAAGGAAATATAAATCAGTTACATCAAATATTAAAAATCAGAGAATAAATTATAAGTTTAAATGTAATAAGTTGATAAATTACCAGCTTCCGAATCTTTATTAGTAGTAGGAGTACACATTGAAACACAAGCATGAAGAATATTTCTGTTTCCATCGCATCTTTCATTAAGGATAGCCAGTAATGTGTCTTCCCCGCCTATTAAAAATAACCAATTTTAATTATATATTCAATAATTACAAAATATTAGTACAGGAATAATTGAATTCTGTTAACACTTGTGTGCTAAATCTAAAGGTCATAATTAGAAAAAAAAAATTAATTATATAATTTAAAATTATAAAAATGAAAATCATTATTTCAGCAGTAAAAATTATGTGTTATCAAAACTAAAATTAAACCAGAATAAAAATGCCATAACATATAATAAATAATTTATATTATGTGATAAGAAATGTAAATCTTTTTTTTAAAAATATTTTTGTTTTAAATTAAATATTAACTTCAATCAATTCTTGATCAAAAAAATTAATTATTTATACTAAAAATGAGAAGAATTTGGTGTCGACTGAAAACTTTATGTTTATTAGTTTAATTAATAGTCTTAATTGAGTAAAACAAGGAAATGCAAAAATATTTAAGTTCAGTATGACAAAACCACTTATTTTCAGTCAAGAGAACATTTAATATGCCAAGTCAACAGTTTTGACAGTTTACCCTTGAATCCACTAATATTTGCAATTTTTTTAGTAATCATACTAATTAATGTTTAAACAATACTGAATAAGTATATTAAAAATACTCACGTGAATCATGTTCAAGGCTGAGAAGTATATGCTTTACATTATCAATATCACAACGAAGAATAGATGGCATCAATAGCTGCGACTGAATAGCAAGAATGATAACGGCAGCTTGTGATTTAAGAGAGCTGTTCGAATTGGGAAGGGCATGAGGGGCAGCAGCAAGAGCTTTCAATGGAGGAAGGTCCAGCCACTGGCAATCTCTTATTGAATCTACGGAATCTTTAGCCAGCGGGCACAATGTTGAATTTCCATCACGTAAGAGCAAAACACTTTCAGACATCTGAAACGAAATATTAATAGAAATAGGCATTATTTTATTTTGAAAATATTAATGAAATGTAGAGAAAGAAATGAATGTGTGAATTGCCATCAGACTTTTATTTTCATTTTTTTTTTTATTTGTTAGTGACATTATATAATATGGCCTTTTATGTGCCAGTGTTTAAATAACTTACTTATACAAATTTTATTACCTCAGAAACATAAAATTTCTTGATGAACAACAATGATTAAAAAACATAAAAATTTACAACTAGCAACATAGTTTATATAATAGTAAGTTAAAAAAAAATATATAATATATATATATATAATATATATATATATATATATATATATATATATATATATATATATAACAAAAATAATGAATCGTTCCATGGAGTTATAAGGTCTCCGTGCTAGATAACTAGAAAATAAAGATATAATAGAACAGGTTTCTAATAATATCTAGACAATTAATAGTTTAAAATTAGTATACAAAGATGCTTTACCTCACCAGTCGAAGTCAATGAAATGTTTGAAGGTTCCAAACCCATGAAGGAATCAGTATCAGTTGGAAAAGGACAATCTTGCTCAATTCGACCCGTAGTCAAATTAAAAAGCATATAGCTCAGTCTTGAATTATTTTTTACAATAGCGTGCAGGCCTGTAACCAAAAATTTCATTTATTTTTTAATTATATGAGATTATTTTAATGAAGATTTACTTAGCACCATTAAGTTTAAAAAAAAGTAAGTACTGCAATGTTTAAAAAAATAGAAGAAATAACTTCTAAAATATAGTGATGGTGATATATGCTCATATATACATACCTAATCCATCAACAGCCACAGCTAATATTTGGCCAACATTATCTCCTATATTTATCCTTCTTGGAGTTCTCTGGAAGCAGTCAGGTGCTCGAGAAGTTGTATTTGTTTTCACAACCTAAAGGAAATTATTCGGGTTATAAATGTTTTAGTTATACTATAATATTAATATAATAACTTACATATTATTAATTATAAAATAATATTAAAATTAAATAATATATTATTACTTATAATATTACCAATATAATAACGCAGAGGAGTGTCTAAAACAGTTATGAGATTTTTTTTTTACTAAAAAGAGAAATAGGGACAACTGAATGAGATAAGCTACTATTTAAGATCACCACATGACCGCTACACTATCTCATTCCAGGATATAATAAAACAAATTCTTATATTTAATGATGAAAACAAGAAATGTTTAATCAGAATGCTGCTTCAGAAATATAAATTATATAGCAACAGAAATAAAGTAATATATGCAGTACTCTGATGATAAAATACTAAAAAGATTCTTGCCATGAATTAAAACATGAACAATTCTGGAAGGCCCAAAAAATAAGATTCCAAAAATATTCCTGACAGCCAATGGAAGCAAATATAGACAGTATAGGAAGAACTACCCAATTGAACAGATAGAAAATGGCAAGGATAAAAGGTCTGATCTAGCTTAGAATGGAGAAAACAGATTGTAAAGCTCCATGCCTGTTTTAAGAGATCAAATAGAAGGTATGGATAGCTTTTTAACATAGTGCTGCCCTTAGGGGGAAGCAGACTGGGGGATTGGCCTGGGGCCCTGACCTGGAGAGACACCTGTTGGGGAGGGGATCGTTGTCACTTGTTAGAAATTAAAAAAAATATATAAAACCTATTAAAATAATTAATTTTAACCTACCAATAAAACAACTGTATTGGAGAAATGTTGAATGAAATAAAATTCAAATATTACACAATATAAAACAGCTTAAGAAATAAATTTAATTTTTCAGAGAGGGAAGATGACGTCATTGCCTAGGGGCGATGAAAGTCTAAGGCCAGGACAGTTTTGACACATAGAATTTTTCATGAAAATACAGTAATTAACCTTATTATTCCTGTTAATATTAATAGTTATTCCTGTAGAAATTGATTTTTAGTATTAATTATAACAGAATAATTTAAAATTTGCTATTTATATTAACAATAAATAAAATACTAAAATACAATAGGAATTTTAAAACACATTTCAATATAAAGTAATGAAATAAAATTGATGACTAAGAATAATATTTCACAATTAAAACCATTTAAACTGAGTGAATAAACAAACCTGTAATTCGTCTTTTCTCAGAAGACGGCAATCTTGAAATGCACCAAATGATTCATCACACAAAGTTATTTCTTTTCCATCTTTTCCTGTTTCTTTACTAGGATTTGACAAAAACCTTACCACAGCATAAGAACCATCTACCATTAAAACTTTTCCTGAAAAAGAACAGAAAAAAAGTTTAAAAAGTAATTATTATAAATTATTTAATACGTTGTGGTACAAGTACAAGCTATTACTAGATAGATATACCAACAAAACTTAGTGAAGGTTATTTTAGCTGTTACAGTGTGGAAAAAAGTAGAAAATAAAGGCTTTTGTGCTTCAAACATTGCGTTATTGTATGAACATATAAAATAAGTACAAAAACAAGAAGGTAAATACGTATGTATGAGAATGCTCTTGTTTATTAATACCCTGTATTTTCTTGAGTAGGAAAGGTTAAATGAAATGGTTAAACGAACCTGGAACTTTCATAACTTGAAGTTGGTTACTTCAGACATCGGACTGTAATTAGTGCGAAATAATTCAAATTATTTTATTTCCTTTGAGATTGGTGTTATCAAATCGACTATATACATAGACACATAAGGTAAATTATTAGCAAATTGAGTAGAGTATACTATTTTTTTAAAAATATCTTATTCCATTCAATATTTTTACTTTGTACGTGAACATTCAAGCACCATAGTGCAGGGAGAAGAGCATCATGAATCAGGGATAGAACAAAAAAATCTGTGAGGCATACAAACAACAATCAATGAGTCAAATGAACATTCGTAAAATCTGAATAGATCTTATTTTTGTTTTTTATACATGTATTTTGAGGTAGGCGCAGAAGACAAATAGATTGATTAAAAACTAAAATAAATAAAATCAAAATATAAAAATAATAATATAAAAAGATGAAATTCTATAAACCTAAGATGAACTATGTTTTTCAACAAAGGGAAAATTTAATAGAATATGAGTTCTGAAAGAAGTTTCATTTCAATAACTGGATAGTAAAAACTAAAAAAATGTTTGCAGAACCTACTTCTAGCCTCTAATAACATTTTAAAATGAAGACATTAAAAAAAACAAAAAATCAATGTAATCACTGGAGTATAAGATGCAGAATAACAAAAAATGAAAACAATTAATTACCATAAAAAAAATAATAATAATGCAAATTAATTTCAAATGTCGTACTACTAACCAATTGGCAAACTTTTAACATCTTCGACAAACACTACATCCCTCAGGTTCCACATAATTTCGTCTTTTTTGTCATCTTCCTTAACAGTGACTCTCTTTGGACGCTCTGGAAAAAAAAATAAAATAATAATAGTGACAAAATTAACAATTAAATAAGCAGAGATAAAATTAATGTGATTAATGGTGACTAACTATTCATTAATAAATATATCTATATTTCAAATTAACAAGGTTTAGAAATAAATATAACCCCATTATATCAAGCTAACCGGAGTTCTAAGTATTCCATATTAACCACAATTGACATATTCCATTAACCATTCAAAGTAGTTGGCCTACAGAAAGAGCTGTGATTCCACTAGGCGTCATGCTATTCAATGCTGGTAAAGGCTCTCAGCAAAGGAATGTTTTGCATGGAAGAAATTTCTTGAAGAGGCCAGATTCAGGAAATAGTATTAAGAAGAGAAGGCAATTAACAAAACCATACTTACTGTGTGATGTTGATCCTGTATCACTGCATGTGGATGAAGCAGGGCTAGGAGGTGGAGGCATGTCTATCCTGTCAGCGGTTTCTTTCTGACTGGAACTTTTAGGCTGCGAGCAACTTGAGGTTTTACTGCACTTATTAGCTCTAAAGAAAATAAATGCTAAGTTTTAGAATAAAATAAAATAAGACAACATCAGTAAAACTTAGACAAATTTCAAGAAAAAATATTTTAATCGAATTAAGAATATTACAATTTTAAATAATTTTATACATGGGTACTTTTTAAGATTTTTATAATATAGTCAACAATAACAATTTAAAATACCATATTGTTCCAGATGGTAAGGAAAGTATTAATTTCATAGCAAGACAAATGATAAATGAAGAAAATAAAGAGATAAATGAAGCTTAGAAACTCACCCACTAGAAGAAGTATCAGTCCTACATTTTGAATCAGAAGCACTGGATGGTGATGGTGGTGGTAAAAGCTTATATCTACAAATATCTGTTAGATTCCAAGCTGCGTTTTGAAGTTGTCCAACTTTTGGTACGCCACCAACAACAGTGAAACCTGATGACCATTAAACAATTAATTTGAATTCATAGCGCAAATATCTAATAAATCATTATACAGCAATACTCCATAGGATGCCAGAGAAAACTGCAGAGTTCAATTGTCATATAATTCTCTTAAATAGGAGAGAAAAAAAAAAAATACAAATTTAAAGAAACAACATAGCGTCCTTAAAATGGCACTAAAAATGTCTGTCAATGAACATTATTGTGGGTTTTGTAGACCAAAAGCCAAAGTTTTTTTCGATATATCCCAGAAAGTGTGTATAGTGAGGTGGTAGATGCTAGAAGAATTCGAACGAATCACAAGTTTATGCAAAGTGAGAGACAGGGATTGGCATAAAAGCTCTTTTCTATGCAATAACAAACCGAAACTAGTGAAGCTTTTTGAAGTCAATCATTATTTAACATACATTAAAGCCTAAACATATACATATATAAAGGAAAGTGGTTATCTTTGAATATTTATTATGCATTCCAATCAAACAATAATTAATATTCATAAATCTCTGTTCTATAAAATAAATAACACGTAATATGAAATAAAGTAGAAATATATTTTAAAAAACATAAGACATTTTAACAGCAGTACAAAGACAGCAAAAAAAAAGAAAAATTCAGCATTTATTTTAGTGCATTATTTTAATAAAAATATTTAAGAGCAAAGTAATTCCCTTATTCACAGATCACAAATAAAAATTGAAGTGCCAAGTGGATAAACGTAATAAGAAAATTTTTTTAAATTCTGATAAAACTGAATTCAACTCATCTTTATTCGTTATGAGGCAGATTGTATTATCAATAGATTTCTCTATCTACCAGGGTATAAACAAAATATTGAAAATATATCTCACTTTTTTATTTAAATGCTCTTATCGATGGTAACAATTTTATTATTCCTATAATAACACTCATCATCCCTAACCATCCCTTCCATTTTAAGATAGGCATAGTAAAGGAATAATGGTATAAAGCAGGGTCCTCTAAACTACAGCCTGCGCAGTCCAGATCCGGGTCGTGAAAGTTTCTTTTGATTGCATGCTAAAATTAAGAAACTATTTAAAAAATATAAAATTTAGTTAATTATTCAAATAGGACGTTATTACGATATTTAATGCACGAGTCGTTTCTCTGAGAAAACTAACTTCACAACTAAGTATCGTTTATAGAACAGGGTTTTTTTTCAACACAAGCAATGGCGGCGGTACTTAATGGAGGTTTCGATGCAGTATGCAGGAATAGTGAATGTCTCAATATAGACCGCAGGCCTAAAAGTTTGAAGACCTCTGGGATAAAGTGTGGTTCCAACAGTTATATGACTGTAAAGAACAATGAACAATAGAAGACCTGTATCAACTATTAAGTATTTTACGAATATGATGTAAAAAAAATCATATTTTTCCTGTAGTCTATTAAACCCATCAAAAACATCTTCCGATAAAAAAAAAAAAAAATAAGAAACACTGAGTTCACATGCACTTACCTATTGCTCCTGCCTGGTACATTGGACTACTCTTCATGCACACCTGAGTACCGGGTACAATTTCTTGATTAGTTACTGACGGTCTTGCCTTACTCGACTTAGCACGATGTTTCTCCCACTGTTTCTTCCTTTGGTTAAAAGGTAGCACTCCCCTTGAAAAAAAAATATTAATGTCATAGATAAATTACAAAAAAAAAAGTAAAATTTATTATATAAATATAACATTTACATAGTATTTACTTTCTATAATAGCATACTTGATTTATACAATTATCATTCGAACTCAACAATATAATATATTTTCAAGGTTAATTACAAAAATTTAACATAAATAAATTTTAAGACTCTTACCACCAATATAAGGCTCCACTTTCTAGCCTCGCAAGTGTATACAATGTGCATGTATAGAGTGATGAAATTCGATCAAGGGTAAATTCAGTAAAAGTTGTAGCAGGATGTTCTAATTTACCAGCAGCATGGCTAATTTGCTCATCTAACCATGTAGCTACCTTCCCACTTTCTGTAGCGACTGTGCAACGAATGGAGCATGCCGAGATAAGAGTAACTCGTTCATTCAACAATCCAAGAGATATTGTTTTTGGATGATGTACACCATTCTAAAGTTTACACACAACAAAAAATAAAATTAATGAATTTCTAATATTATATATATATCTAGTTTTACCATTAATATTGTTACAAAAGTTGAACTTTGGTTACATCCTTGGGTATTATTTAGATAATCCTTACCTCTATCAGGCTATTTTCTTTACATGTCAGGATAATAATCCCGATTCATTTGTATTTTTCTTTCACTCAGTTAACATAGAGTGGGTGATAAAGAACACCGAATAGCTGTGATCACCTTACACTAAGTTGGAAAATGTAGGTTAGAGATTATCAACACTTTGAGTATCAGCTGTATTTTCATGTACTGCATTATAAATAGAGATAATGAGACTCTATCTGTATGTGACAGACCGTCTCCACACTGTGAGAATGGCAAATGCAATGAGAGCAGTAGCTGCTCAAATCATAAAATATCCTATTCGAAAACAACAAATCATGTCTCGGAAAATGGGAATCTCTGTCAGAGCAATGTCTCGCATAATAAAATGTGACCTAAGGATGGGTGCATATCAAAGAATGACAGAACGAAGGCTAACCATTTGCTAAAAAAAAAAAAAAAATAGAGTGGATAGATGTAAAGTGTTCCTTGGCCGTTACACCAATGGTCTTCATTGAAAGATGTTTAGCGATAAGAAAATGTTTACAATTGAAGAAAAATTTAATCGCCAAAATGATCGTGTGTACACACATTAACTCTAAAAAAGCCCAGAAAGTCATTGGAAGAGTGGAAAGAGGTCATCACCCTTCCTCAGTGATGGTTTGGTATGGAGTTTGCTTTGATGGCACCACAAAGCTCTATTTTTGGGAAAAAGTAGTTAAAATAGCCGTTAAAAACTATTAGGACGATATCTTCGAATCTGTTGTCAAGCCTCTAAATGATAATCTGTTTGCTGGAAGTCATTGGGTTTTCCAGCAGGATTTCCCTTCAGCTCACAAGGCCAGATCAACTCAGCAGTGGTTACAAAAGAACATTCCAGAGATCATATTTGCCTTGTATTGGCACTCACGAAGCCCTGATCACAGCCCACTAAATTATCGGCTTTGGTTCGAACTGGAGAGCATGGCATGCCACAGAGCTTGGAAAGGACTAACTTGGAAAGCCTCTAACAATCTCTGGTCTGAGCAGTTGAGCGCTTTCCTCAAGAAGTGCTGCGTGCTGCTATTGATGACTGTCCATGGAGATTAAATGCCTGAGTCAAGGCAAAAGGTGGACATTACTGTTTACTTACTGTGAACTATTTGATTCAAGCTAATGCAGTACAGTCTAAAACAATACATAATGTGGACCATTCTCTTTGTTTACGTTCCGAATTAAATGAAAAAGGCTCCTCCTCATTATTGAATATCCTATAACGTAGTATTCGATTTTTTTTTGTTCTATAGCTTCCATCTATTTCTTGATTTTTTTTTTTTTTTTACCATTTATTTCTTGGTAAGTTTAGATCTAGAGTTCCTAGTAATAACATCGAAATCATATATATTTTTTCTTAATTTGATTATTTAACTTCATCCTTTTCATTGTTTGATTTTATTTTATTTTTAATTCAAATCCTTATCTTTAATAAATATTTGGGCAAAATTTGAAGGAAATAGAATTTCCTTAGTTGCTATGGTGAAGAGGGGAAGTGGAACTGGAGAGAGGTCTAGGGGAGGTGGAACTTGAGTGGGGGAAAGCTGCTCGAGCTTTCTCTCCCTACACTCAAACTTAACTCAGATGAACTATACAATGGTGTTTAACAAGAATATATTATATCTACATAGAAAATCAAAACTGCACAAGTCGACTAGAGTACACGGAGAAAAGTTGTTGAAGAAAACTAAGGCAATCAAGGTGGGCTAAGAAGTTAAAATACAACCTGTGTAAAAATCAGGCCTGGGTCTTTTTTCTTAACTTCCATCTAAAAGTAACATATTAAAATAAAAGGAAAATAATATCAGTTAGTTCCTATAGAAGTGGTTCGCAGGCAGGCTGTGCTTCAATATTGCCTAAACTTTAAAATTGAGACTATGGTAACTAGTTCAAAATTAGTTTTCCCAGATTTCAGTGTAATTATCTATAATATCCATAATGAATACAAAGATATCTACAACAGATAACTGTAAGAAGGGTCATCACAATGAAAGAAACACATAGTTTATCAATTAAAGATGTTATATTAGAAGTTTTTACCTCAGCTTTAAAAGGTTCTATGTCTGCCCACTTCCATTGGTGTAACTGACCATTAGAAGAAACGGCTATAAGTTCACTGTAGAGAGCAGCAATGTTGATGAACTTGGGGCTGTTAGCTCCTTCTTTGTCAGGCCAAAACTCAACATCGTCAGACATCCAGAGTGGATTACCTCCACTAACATCCTTTTTCTTGCTCTCTGTAATCAAAGATTTATCAGCCTTTTTCTTGGTTTCTGCAATCAAAATCATCACATTAAACAATGTAATAAGAGTTAGTAAAAGGAAAATACTTTATTGTATATTAATAATTAATACAAAAAGCATTCTGGCAAACTCTTTAAAGAAAAATTGGGATTTATTGAAAAATTTCAAAAGAGAAGCCAAAACATACTGCTATTGAAATATTCAAGCTTTAAATTCAACTCCTATGAGAACATTTATTTGATTATGATTTTTGAAAACACGAATTCTTAATTTCAGTAAAATAAAAAGATGCACTTTCACTCATCAAAGTGTAAACCATTTAGCATAAACATTCAAGATCAAGATTATCAAGGAGAGCACTAAAGCAATAATTTTATTAGTTAATAAATCCAAATTTATCAAGTATTGCTATCATACAAGAAAACCCAAAACATTAACATGACTTATACTGCACTATCAATAATTTATGATTCCTATGAAAAGAAAATTCAGTATTTAGTCTATTTGAATGATTTCCATCATTTTGATTAAAACGTCCAAGAACATAAGCAAAGAAAGTAATACAGAAATATAATTTCATCTTTAGACTTTCAGACAGAAGCAATATTTTCATAAATTGATTTTACAAGAATAGTACAAAATAAATATATAATAAATTAATTTAATCATAATCTTTTTAAATTAGTATATTAAAACTTAAAGAGTTATTAAATTTTATTATTAAAAATAAATTAATAATGAACTAATAGCATACAGGTTCGTGCAAAATTATAAACATGCAAGGTTAGTAAGTGATTGTATGTGATCACCTCATAAAACCTCCTTAATACATACTAAATTTATCGAAAGCAACTTTAATTTCAAAATAAGGTTTCATAACAAATATGCAGTGTTTCATTCTAAAAAGTTAACAGAAGCATCCACCAAATAATACAATCATTTATCAATTTTTAAAGACAATAAAGAAATATTTATGTAACACAGAAGTAACATTGTGTCTACTTTCTTGAACATATACTACATTTAATAACAATACAGGAAACACTCTTCAAAAAAATACGTTTAATATACTTTAAATTATTTAATTAAATTGTATAGTGATCAATTTACTTATTGGACTCTTTTTTAAAAAAAAACTAATCAAACCACATTTCCATATTTCATTGAGATTCGTGAATAGAGATTTGGTAGAGGTATATAGTTGAGTGAATTAATTTAAATCAACTTTTCCTTTTTAAATTCTGAGAAAAATACATAAAAGGTAAAAGAGGATAGAGTTGAAAAAAGCATACTTACTGAAAACAGAGAAAAGGTCAAGCTCGTTGTTTATTGGTTGGATGGTTTACATTAAGAGCTCATTACACACAATACAGTACTGAATTAATTTGTTTAAGCCCTACCCATCATTTTAAGTATACGAGGGAGAGGGGGTTGTTCTAGATATATAACCAAACCTATTCTAACCACAGTGTGAAGGTGAAGATTCAACCTGTGGGTCCACTGTGAAATAAATTTTAACCCACCTACGCCGAAATGGAACTGGCACCGACACTGACGCCTCCCCCTTTTTTTCTTTTAACTAACTTTTATTTTTTAAAGTCAAGAAGATTAAAAGGATTAACATTAATAAATAATTTATGTTTTATCCAATTATTGTATACCCCGCCAATTTTCTCCAGCCATCCTCTCCTACCAAACAATACTTTCGATCGCAATGATCTTGTGTAGATTTCTTCCTTTACATTTTCTTTGGCTGTTCCCTCTTCTTTCTAAATTTGGGATTTTTTTTTTTTTTTTTTTTTTACGATTGTTACATTCTATCTTCGTTAAGTAACCAAACCATAGGAGCCTCCTGGTTTTAATATCATAAACATATTGTAATTATGATATAATAGTTCATCACCAGGCACCATTCAAAGTATTCCTCTATAAGTTTTCTCATCATACATTGCAGGTCATATTCGTCTGACAGACCAACTGCAAGTTTCAAAGTGAATAAGAAGCTATCATCAATCTTCATACCCATTTATCAGCATTTCTCATCCATTTTTTTCAGGCTGGTTAAATAAACAAGTTAAAGTGAATAGGTGATAAACAGCAACCTGTTTTATTAAGCCTTAGGTGAAGGAAAATAATGAAGGAAGTGACTTCTAATCTACACTTGTTCATTTACACCAATGTAAAGGCTTAGGATCCCATTTAACAAACTAATACCTGCTGAAGTTGTTGCTTCAGAGATCTTATTTAAAGGTATTGTGATATACACGTTCTGCCAGTTGATAAAGGCTAAATACACATCTCTTGGTTATGTGTTGTCTGCTTTTCCAACAGTTGGAGAATCATGAATACATGATCTGTACATGAAACGACCTGGTCTAAAACCTTTGAGATCTGTTCTTTGGGTGCTTAGATTCTTTTGATTATCCTTGATTTTAATTTTCAAAACACAGCTGTATTGACGACTTAGACAGCTTGTTACCGATAACAGTAATAAGGCCTGATAAATAGAGGACTTTTTTAATTCCTTTATCATGTATCGGAGTGTTGGGCCATATCAGCATTCTTCGAGTACTTCTTGTTTCATACTTGCACTAAAAAAGTCTACTAAGAACTTATTTAATCGATTGGCTCTATTTTAATCGATTAGATTTGTACATTTCTTTGTCCCAGTGATTAATTTTTCATTTCACTAAAGACTTTTGATTTCTTAAACCGATCGAACTCAGTACAGCTCTGGTTTTTTATTTGTTGTTTAACAGTATTGTCTCTTTCATAAGTTGGAAAATACACAGCCCATTTTCTAAAAGAGCATTAATCAAGCAGAATTTTTCCTGGTCAGCGTTGATTTTTAATGGCTCATAAAATTTGAGAAAAGTTGAGAATTAGTATTATAAAAGATTTCAGCATCAAAATTATTTTTCTTAACAAATTTGTTTTGCTCCTTCACTATTAAAAAGTAAAAGTTAAAGACGGAAGCTTTATATTCACGCAGTAATAGAAAAAATAAATTGTCATTTCCTTGAAAATTGACAAAATTTCAAAAATAGCTTGTCCTACAGTTTTAATTTTCAACCAATTTGTTTAATTTATTATATTTCAAACAAATTATTATTGATTGCTTAACTGACTCTAGTTTACCATATTTTTTTTGTTTTGTGCATGATTTTCCAAAACATATTAAAATAAATAATTGAAACATTTAATTTATTAATCCTTGAACATTAGTTGTTTGCACTCGTTACCCCTTCATACAACCAATAGAAAATGTGAAAAAGCTATCCCGACTTTTTTTTTCTGTATTTTAAACTTCTAAACTGAAAACTGAAGCCTAACATTTTGAGTTAGTTAAACAAATAAAAATGCAATGGGTATAAAATAAAAATGTGCAATTTTTAATTTATAGAATTACCTGTAATACGAGTGTAACAGTAGTACAGTTTTGATTATACTTTAAAAGTACCAAAGGATGCAGAAATAGTTTTATTGACTCTTGATAAATACCGAAGGACGCATGACTATAAAATAATTTATTTAAGAGATATAACTTGCCTCCTTCCTTGTCCCAATTGGTATCCCTAAGTGCAGTTTCAAGCCACCTCCTAGGACCGAAGTACTGCCTATCCCTCCACCTTGAAAATGAGTCACGGTCGTTACCATCTCTCCTATCTCTGTCCCTCTCTGAGCTCCGTTCTCCAGACGTTCCTTCAGAAGAACCTCTCTCTCTTTCATTAGGTCCGCCTCCACGCCTTAGCCTGCCAACATTTCCCCTGCGCCAAAGAGGACATATATGAGATATTAATTTTTAAAAATTACAAAGTTCTGTGGGTTAATTAAAATGATTATTTGTTGAAAAAATATGTTTAATGTGTCATGGTTATGAATGGCTGATAATGAAAGACTGATTTCCAATTAAAAAAAACACAAAAAATTAATTATATATGAATGCAACACCAAAAAAAAAAAAAAAAATTTAGCATTATACTATTGAAGAACAGATTCCTTACATCCTCATTGATGAATAGCCAAACATATCTTCCGAAAACATGGCATCAGCATCAATAATTACAGAGTGATCAGGATGAAATCCACCATCCAGGAGGGAAATAAGATCTTCAGGAACGTAACTATCTCCTCCTTCTTCCCCTTCTTCTCCCTCTTCATCATCACGAGATAATAAGTTATTTACGGCTAAGTTCACATCTAAATTGGTACGCTAAAAGAAAGAAAAAAATTGTTAAATAAATATATATAAGATAAATTTGATCAGTGTTAGCTTATTTTTGAAAGATTAAAAAAGTTTCTTATGTAACAGATATTTACTATTAAAAATAATCATTTTTTAAAATATCAAAGAAATGGATGATGTGAGTAAAAAAATCTTAAAAAACAAGAGGCATGTTATTTCAAGTTATGTGAATTCTAAAAAATATATATATGCAAAAAACCTAAGTGGATTATTTAATAATACCTGTAACTCTCGAATAATAAGGTTTCTGCTCTTTCCCTGCAACACTACTTGTGCCTGAGTAACAAGTTCTTCAGGTACATACGGAGCAGATATAACAGTCCTGCTGCCACTGCCTGAACTATTTCCACCCATTATAACTCCGGTTCCACCTCGACCTCTCAAGTTTGAGGTGGATGATCGTACAATCCGAGCACGTGTTCGGGTAACTTGGCGGCCTCCTCCACCTCCACCGCCTCCTTTAGAGCTAAATTTATACATGAAATAACATAATTAGAACTTTAATTTAAAGACACTGTAAAATTATTAAGAAATTAAAATCAAATAACTAATACAGTGGAATCCCAAAAATTCATCTTGTCAAGGGTCTAAGGGTTAAACACATATGATTGAGTTTACTACTAATGGAAATTTTAAAAAATGATAATAAAACACTATGGCAATAATGGTTTCTATGGCCATCAGTTAATTGATTATTACACCAAACTCTGCAACATACCTGTACTTTTCCCACTTTTTAAAATTATAAAATGTACTTTATAATAAATTATAAAACTTTAACAATAAAAAAATATCAAACCAACCATAACTTGCACCAAAGTTGGTTTATAAGAAGTTTACACTTGTGCAAACCAATATTTAAAATGCTTTCCTAGCTGTAGATGCTCCAAAATTGGCTATTCCAAGTCTGGGCTGTGATTTTTTTCCCTTCAAAATAGAAGGTATCATCAATGGAAGAAAGTTATAAGATTTGAACATATCAGCCAATTTGTCTCCACCTGCTGTGGTTTACATGATTTCATGGAAAGACTTAATAAAGTCATTACCAAAACCAAACATCACATTTAATGAAGAAAAAGAACTAGAATAGAAATAAAAAATGTAAACAACCAGCGTTCTCTTAATCTCCATCTTCTCACCTCATAAAAACAATAAGTTTCTTTTAATATGTTTACGTGACTAGGAAAACAAAAATCTACCATGTATAAATTCCAGCTTTTAACGGTAGATTTTGACAGACAAAGTGTCAAAATAAACTGAGCGGGAAGTGATAATAAATCCCATAATTGATTTTTTAATTCTTATTAATACTTCAATTCAAGTTATAGAAAATGTAAATGGTATCATAACTCCAATGGAAGTAAATTGTGGGATCAATCAAATTGTATTAAAACAATTTTGACATTGAAATCAATACTTGGAAGGTTCCTTTGAGATGTAATGTTTTCTCTGATTTAAAGACCTAAAATTTACGGTTTTTGAGATAATGAAATGGCACATCCTTATTCTAGAGGTAGCTTCCTAGATGCTAAGTTTATAATGGGACACTTACCACATGTCTTTTTAGTTTAGATTTTTTAAAATTATAATATAAATATTTATTGCAGGATATGGTAAAATAAAAAAATTATTTAAAAAGTGAAGAATGGTTCTATGCGTAACTTAGAAATATAGAAATAATTTTTTTTGGCCATTTATAATGAAAGTAAACAAGCTATGAAGATATATTTTAATTTTCTTGGTTGTTAATTCTGTCATAAGGATAATATTCTTATTCATGGCTGGCTTCTACATTGCCCTGTTAATAAGTGATAGAATTAAAAACCAAGGATCCAGCTTATCTGAACCTACCCGCAATAAGCCTCAGCATGTAAAATTCAGGGTTGATAAAAGCTTACAGATAGATGTGTCTGTCTATCATGCCTAATCATAATCATTATGAAGTAATAACATTGCTTCAACAATTGTTTATTCGATAGACTCTGATTAATTTGGGTTATTATTGGAAAAATTCCAAACCACACAGCCTTATGTCTCTAAAATGCAGGGAAAAAAAAGCTAGTTGAACATCACTCCACGAAATCGCGTACAGAAAAGTTTTTCTTTGCCCGCATTTTGGAAACATAAGGCTGTATGGTTTGGATTTTTTCCAATAATAACTTAACATTTATGTTCTATCTCTTGTTTATTTTGATACTGATTTATAACAATAATATTTTGTTTATAAAATAGAAATGTTTCTCTAATACCACTTCTAAATCACATGTACCAGGAAGAAAAGCAATAGACATCTAAAGCAACGGTTCTCGCTCATGAACGCTAGGTTCTGCATTTTTTATAATTTAAACTTTCATGATGTGTAAAAAAACAGTCGCATTATAAATAGCTTTAATTTTTAAAATATAGATTATTAAGATTTGATATTACGTAAAAATGAGAATGCATGAGGAAAATAAAGGAATAAATAATGAAGCATAAAAACTATAATTAGCAATATCAAGGAAGAGAAAATACTATTAAGTTAAGCATAAAACATCACAGCATTATATTGTAAAAAAAAATGAAAAAAACAAAAAAAAAAATACAAACTGACTATATTTTAATTACTTACTTTTTGCTATTGTCATTCTTGGTGAGATCCAATCGGTCAGAAATAATTGAAAAAGCCACCCTACATACTTTTCCATCTTCTAGAAGTAAAGCAAAATGATTTGGTCCGATAACAATTTTTTTCACACTAGATTTTATAACAGAGAGAGCTTGAGGTGGTGAGACGGGTCCAAATCTATTTAATCGATCAGCTACTTCCTTTAACCTGTGTATAGATAATGCTTTATTAGTTGAGGATTATGCTTAATTTACTCCTTCCTTACTTAAATTAATGAGAAAGTATTAATTTAAGATAAAGAAGAAAAATATTTTAAAAATACAATAAATAAATATTTCCTTAATATATAGCAAGAGATGATAATATAGAATCTAACTTTGTGGTGTTCAACTTCATGAAATTAAAAGAAAGAAATGGTCTTGTCCTCTATAGCAATACCTAGGCTTTATATATTATTTAAAAGTTATGAATTTCAAATTTGCTCTCCTTCACCCAAACCCAACTAATGATTATTAACTTTTAACAAAAAACATGCATCTGACTTGAGGCATAGACAATATGAGACTCCTTGGGGTTTCTTTCTTAGTTTAGTTGCTTTGAAGTGATTCTTGAAGTTATTTGTTGTAGAAGGCAATGATGCATGCTTCTATAATACCAGTATTAGATTTGATAAGTCCACAAAAAGAAGAAAAAACAACTCTTGGGTGAACCCAGAACAGATTTAGGAATGAAAATCAACACAATATATGTTTGAACCAATCTATAGAGCAGACACCAACCACTTCTTTGATAATAAACAACAAAACAACAATAATAGTTGGAGTTATCTTCTCAAATTTTTGAGGAATCGTACACAAATATCCAATGGCAACTGAACCAACAATCTTTCTCTAGGCATAAGCTCTTTTTTGTTACAAATTTGTTTAACTCATTACGGCTTACTGTCAAATTTTAAAGGGGTTCTATGTTATACCACTTCTCTCAAATAAAAACGCAAAAAAAAAAATCAATGAAATATTATCGAAGATCTCTTTTCGTTTTCCTAATACACGTATCAATGATCATTGGATTAGTTTTTGGAATCTCTATGGACCTATTTCCTTATGAGGCTGAATTTATCATTTGATTATAGAAATTAATAGTTTAAAAGTATAAATGTTTAATTTCTTATGTTCAATTATAGAAATTAATAGTTGAAAAATAATAATATATATTTTATAACAAGGCATTATTATAAAATAACATATACTATTTTAGCAAGGGTGATAAATAGTCAGGACCCAGTATTTGAATAACTTCAAAGCTCAAAACATGCCCTGATGATGACCGACATGTTTGAGTTTAAACATTAGTACAAATAAAACATATTCATAATGACTGCGTCCTGACTATTTATCACCAATGTTTAAGAGAAAAATTAAAGACTCTTCTTAATGCACCAATTGTTTGTGTAAAAGAGAAACACGGTTTAGAACGGGTCGGTGGGCAGGATATGTAGTTTTGAGGAATGGGAAGCAGTTTACCTCTTGCATATATGACTGCATCCAGACTATTTATCACCCATGATATGTAGAACGGTTGACTAACTTCCTTCAACTATTCTAGCAGCTGTGCCAGATAGATTGTCCATCATCATGCATTAATTATACTATTTTACTAAATTGAAGAAAGGATGGTTGAGGTGATCAGTCACAATAAAATAGTAAAAATAAATAATTGTATTTATTTCCACATTTGCTGACGTTTGGGTCCGAATATCAGGTCTTCATCAGGGCTGCTCTACCAACAAGCAAAGACAGAGCTTGTTGGTAGAGGAGCCTTGATGAAGGCCTGAACTTCGGTGAATGTAAAAATAAATACAACTATTTTATTTTGACTGATCATCCCAACGATCCTTCTCTTCTATTCTCTACAGTGAACTATCAACCCACAATTATTTTACTAAATATTTGTTAATGCTTGTTTAAATATGAAACTATAACAAAAATTTCATTTTTGGTACCACTAAAGAGTGTTAATGGTACTTAGTAACCATAACAAGTGAACTATGTCATAAATAATATAGCAAGTATGTGGAAATAAATAAAAGCAGATATGATCAAAAATGTATAATGCTGATCAGAAACTATCTCAAAAGCAATAGCTATTAATGTGAATAAGTTTCTTTTAATAGTAATAAATAATTTTTATAATAATTTCTGAAATCTTTCGTAAAAGAAAAAAGAAGTAATATATTATAAATGTCATCCGATGAATATGAATGTATTTACTAATGTATTGGTTATCTGACAGGTATCTCAGGAATAACTTCTTAGATTTGAGAGGAAGGTGCTAAGAATATACAGTGGTGTTTGTGAACAAGTCCTCTGGAGAAAGAGGAGTAAAACATTACTCCAACAGAATTAACAGTAGTATATAGGGATCGAGATGTATGCCCCTTAATTAAAATATAAAGGCTTCACGGAGCGGGCCATACAGCTAGGATGGAACCAAATGAAATCACACATATAGCATTGCTTGTAAACTTAACAACTGGTATTTAAACTTAACAATAAAAATGTAAACTCAACAACTGGGTCCTAATACCACCGAATAACAATAATATTGGCAGATTAATATAATATCTTGTTTTATTAAAAAACAAAACAAAGTTTGCTGTTATTTCAATTAAGTGGTTTGACAACAAAGAAGTGACCTTTAATATTACAGATAATACATGTCAAAACATGAAACAGATTTGAATGAGGATCCTCTTCTGTAACGCAGAATTGATATTTCAACATAAGTGAGAATCTTATGAACAGAGCTAAGTTTAGATTAAAAAGAGAAAAAGTTTCTTTCTTTAAATAACTTCATACAGCTACCCTCTCAAATACACCACAATAATTTTTGTTTGTTTATATTTTGATTTCTTTCACATTCTTTCTAACATGTGGACTCATTTGTTAGTAATTATTATCGAAATATTAAAGGCTATTGGCAGGTGCATACACACTAAGTGTAAGATGCTTTTCCCTAAAAGTTGTTAGCCTCTACAAATGTTTGCCATCCTCCTATTGCCTGACTTTGCCACTTGTTAGGTAACTAATAGTAAACTTTTTTACTATGACTTCACACAAACGTGAGTAAAGATATTGATGAAACATAAACATGAAACTATAATATTATTAAAGAAGGAGATGGTCCGGGGTTGCGGTCATAAAAAGGCTAAATAGTGGTAAAACTATTTATCAGGCTTTCAATAAAATAGTTTTACCACTATTTAGCCTTTTTATGACCGCAACCCCGGACCATCTCCTTCCTTTATAATGCAACAGTCAACTATTAAATATTCAATATAATATTATTAATGGCCACTATTATTAATATCACTTTTATCTCTATAAAAGTACAGTTCTTAAGTGATTACACCTATCAAATTTAATGTCACAAATACTAGATTGAACTAAACTAAAATAAAACAGGTTGAAGAAATAATTTTATATCAACATGCTTACTATCCTACAACTTAGAATAGGCAAAAAGGATAGAATCATTCTTCAATAATAAGAATCAATAAGGCTGCTATTATAACTAATGTAAATATGATAAACAAATCAAATCTAATTGAATTTGGAACACTAAGTCTAATCTTTTTTCATAACTCATTAACAGTAATAATTCATTCACAAGGCATTTATTGATACTCCAATAAGATGTTTTTTTTTACATTAATATTATAAAAAAGTTTTATGAAGCTATTTATAGCTATGAGATTATAATATATTCATCTATTAGAAGGTAGGGCCTAAATTGTATGAAGTAGAGCATAAGATCAGCTCGGCAAACCAATCAACAATTCATTTTATAAAATGTAAACTAAACAGTTAATCAATTAAATTTTTCAACAAAAATAATAAATGAACAATATATACAAAACAACTTAAAAAATGAAATAATAAATCATAAAATAAGAAAAACAAAACAAAAAGCTAATTGTTCTTTTTACATTTTAATAATATTTCAAGTTAAATAATGTTAAACACATAAATAGATAAAAATGTATATGTGTATATATAATTTTTTTTTTCAAGATCTTGATTATATTTTAAATGTTCAATTAAATATAAAAGAAAAATTAACAATAATGAAGCCACAAACAAATAATTCACATGACAATGGAGTAATTTAAAATCCATGTAATAACTATGAGAATAAGGTATTGGAAGCAAAACTTTATTTTTTAATTTTTAATGCATAGTGATTTTGTAAATCAAATAAAAATATTTTACTCCAATTTTATGTAAAAACACATAATGAAAATAAATTATAACGCAACTAACAATTGCTTAAATACAGAAGGCAATCTATCTCCCAGAAGACAAACATTGCATGTCTAACCTAACCTTAAGGATCATAACATGAAGACACATGTGTTTTGTTGACAATAAAATATATAGGAATAGAAATGAATTGGCACACCATAAACTATAGGAAAATCCCAGATGTGATTATTAAATAATTAATTATCTACAGTATTGATTAACTAATAAACATATTTGGTATTTCATCAAGTTAGTCACACTATAACCCTCATCATAACTAATAACGCAAACCAGAGGAATAGATGTTTATTTTACATTTAAATTAAAATCAATACTACTTCAAAACATTTTTATGTTTAAACATCACAGTCAATATGATAGTATTTAGAAATACTACTAACAAAAAACCTGCACTTTTATTAAGAAAAAGAGGAAAGGTTAGGAACTTAAGGACAACTAAAACAAAATAGTTTAAATTCTTCTGTTCCTATAAAGTCAATATCTTCTGACAATAAAGTAAATTTATAGGAATCACTAAACTGAAATGCTTGTAAATAGTTATAATCAAAAAGTACAATAATAGAACTAATACAATCTTTTTTTAATAACAAATGAACCATTACATTGGAAGACTCGTCTTTTGATAAAAGACACTGCTTCGTTCAAGTCCAAATAACTACCTTAACAGATAACCATTGTTGATTAAGAAGTACAAATTTAATTGGAATTAATAAGGGTGATTAATTAATGATGAATTTTGACTCTGGAGAAAACTAAAATAAATAATTAGCTCCGAACAAATGGAATTCTAAAACAAAATCTGTCAAATATATGTAAGTAAAAGAAATATTTTTTGATATTATTTACAGGTTAAAACATGAACAATATCCTTTTATCAATTGAAAAGATGAACTACTTTACTGATCATAAAATAAAGCAATAAAACTTAAACACAACGATCGAAGAAGTGTATACTCATAAAATGGCTATACTAAAGAGAAGTAATTATGTACAATGTACAAAAAAACAAATGAAATCTAAAATTAGAGCTCAAGAAATATGCAGAACAAAGTGCATGAGCTGAGTGTAAAACTCCTGGTGGAAAAGGGAGGTAAGTAAAAATCAATGAACACTTTTGAAGGATGGAAGTCTTAATGACATAAGACAACTATAAATGAAATGGCAGAGCAAAATAGATGTGACTAATTAAATAAAATAAGCTATTATCAAAGCAAAAGTAAGTAAAGCCGACTACAGGTTAATATTTCGGCCTTGGGTATTACGATCCATTACAACTAATCTATACAAGGTGGGGTCATAAGTAGTATAAGACATGCAGTTAGAACAAAATGCAATAGATATGAGTGTTAACAAGTAATAGAAGAATGTAGGATTCTGTCTTTGCAGCAATATTGTTCTCTAAACGTTATTAAGAGGGTAAAAAACCACTGGATGGTCGAACAGCCGAGCGTTTGAGTTCACATACCTATCATTAAGCTGGTCTTCGGTGCCAGGAATTGGATGAACGACAAATTGTAGCGAAGACATCGTAACAAATTATTAACAACACACAATTCCAAAATAAGTTCTCAAATTCACCATTTCACTTATTGAGTAACACGTAAACTCCTTTCTTTAACTAAACAATGGCCGACACATAATGGGGGCATCGCCACTGATGGTTTTTCAAGAGCAGAAAGCAGTTTAGCCAACAGGTTTCGCTTTGAAAATATTTTTCTCCACAAACTATTTGATCCACAAAATTAAAGAAGTGTGTATGCCGACTAATTTTTATTTTACTGGATAAGGTACTAATTCGAAATATGACTCTTTCTTAAATTTTTAATACTATTATTCATACATATGGTTTTGTTTATTAGAAAGAGGGGGTTATACAAATATCGTTTAAGATTTAACGTTTTATTGTTTACAATATCTTACAGCAGTTAGGTTATTTAAAACATTACATATTAATACATGTAGATTGAATGGAATCTATGCTCTTTTGTTTAATATTTGTATTTCTTCTTCTAATTGTCTAACTTTATCTTTCAATTCATCAAGCCTCTTTAAAAACTCGTTTTTTCTCTTCAACATTTTGTTTATTTCCAAATTGACTGAATCGCTGAAAAATTAAACACCATTTAATAACGTTTAACAGATTAAATTGAAAAAATAATAAAACCTACCATGCTTACCATAAATCAGTGTTTTTCAAAATAAATGAAACTTCTTCTGATTCTTTAAAAGGATATTTTCTATTATGTTCCTTTATCATATTTTTAACAACTAATGCCTCTTGAGTAAGTGCTTTATCCATCATTTCCAGGTTATTCAATGACTCCTTAGTTGTATTTGAATCCTAAAATATGAATTTCTTAATTACATCTGTTTCATTTAGTTAATGAAATCACATAGTTTTGTTGTTGATATTTGTTTTTATTGTTATGCAAATATGAACAACATTTTTTTATCATCTAATAAAACTATATTTAAATTATTAGAACTTCAATCAAATGGATTTCGGTTAACATTAGTTATTTAATGAAAAAAATAGTTGTTGAAAGAAAAAATATATAAATTTTAATAAATAGCTTTTATTAAAATTAAATATGAAGTATTTCAAAATTTTAGTAACTTTCACGATAATTATTCAAGAAATATCTTGTCATATGTTCAAGTTGAAAAAATTAATAAATTTCACAATATTTTAAACTTGTGATTAAAATTATATATACAAAAGTTCTAATCATTAGTTTTTGTAATATTTAGCAATTTAAAGTCAACATGCTTTATTTTCTATATTAATGACCTTAATTTTAAAGAAACATGATTGTACATACATTTTAAAATAAATTGAAGAAAAAATATGTCCTTGTTACGACTAAATATCATTTTATTTAATAGGAATGTTATTATATCAGTCCCTGAATCAATATAATATTTTTTATAACTTTTCAAAACGTTATCTAGTAAAGTAACTCAAATTTATTTATATATTACACAAATTGTCTCAATAACAGAATAAGGTAGACATAATACAACAGTAAAGTTAATAAGGTAAAAAATAGAATATAAAAGTGAGGTAAAATATAAATAAAATAGATCATAAATTATATTGGTATTTAAAAAATAATAGTAATCTGTTGTTTTAGTGTAAAAATACATACATGCTAGAACAGTTACTACTGATATTGCTGTATAATACAATATTTCATAATATTAAAAATCCTTTTACTGTTTAATATCTATGTGTCTTTAGAAATTAGAATGAAGAACTGTTTTTGATTAAAAAAAAAATAATTTAATTTAAATAAATGTTAGCAATGGGTAGTTCATCTACAAGTGCGTCCAGTCCATGTGTCATTATACCAATTCAAATTTACTTGTTGTAATTTTCATGGACGATAAATATTCAGGACGCAGTTATTATATAGTTTTTTTATTGATGCCGACATTTCAATCCAAACATATAGGTCATCATCAGGGCGTGGTTCGAGCCCTGAAGTACTGAGTACTTGAAAACCTTCATTGCTCAAACCACACCCTGATGATGGCCCACATGTTTGGGTTGAAACATCGGGACTAATAAAAAACTTTATAATTACTGCTTCCTGAATTTTTATCACCCATGATATGTAGAACAGTCGCCTAGCTTCCTTCAATAATTCATTTTTGTAATTTTCTGTATATAGAAAAATTAAATAAAACCTGAATCTTTAGGTTAAAAAAATGAAACAAGAAATACATAGTGTTATAAACTTCAAACTACATACTATCCTTGATCAATTGTAAAAACATCAATATCAGAGTTTGTATCAACAACATGAATATTATTCACTCTAATAACAACTTAAAGATAAATGACTAACTAAAATAATACCTAATATTAAACATTTTAAGATTGAAGGCTACCAACAAACATCTTGAAATAAAATGGGTAAATAGCCATTTAGGAGTGAGAACAAATGCTGATACTTTAGAAACAACTTTGCCCACAACAGTGCGATCTTTCTCACTTTCAAATTGGCTAGTTCCATATTCTTAAATCAAAAGGAATTATTGAATAATATATATACAAAAAGCATAACGAAAGTTGGAACTATTAGGCTAACATTATAATTTGGTTCATTATTCACTAGAATAATATAAAATTGGTTAACTAAAATTTAGTCACATACTTTATGAATATAAAAATACTTTCAAATCATAATTAATATATCATCTTAAAAAATGAAACTTTTAAATTCCTCCTGAAATTGACACTGTATTAAACAGACCAAGACCTGCTATGAAAAGTTAACTTTTATTTTTTATCAGTTCAGGCCAAAGGAGATGGGAGATGGGACACAAACTTTTAGATTTTGTTTTTAAGTGGAAAGGCCAATGGAAAAAAAAATACAAGCTAAATTATTAGAAATAAAAACTGAGTGTAAGAAATAGGCCAAAAGTTCCAGAAAATCTAGAAGGAAATAAATAATATTGTGCTGAATACGAATTGGATACCGCCTGTTAACACAAGGGTACCTTCTTAAAGGACTAAAAGCATCCACATGACAGTTAAACACTTATTTACTAGAGTGCTTCCAATTTGAAAAAAGAGACAAAGATTAAAGTTATCCATACCTTTAAAAGATATTTTCTAAGACAATGAAGAGGATATCATCACTCTATTCCAATATTTAATCGAATCCAAATGTTACAATAGAATATAAAAACTTACTCCCAATGGCCATAATATACTCCTAACCAAACTCAAAAATATCTCCCTGTCATCTACTGCTCTAAACTAGTTCTAATCCTTCCTTACCAGTCACTCCCAGTATGTCGTAGTTCCTTATAATCGTGCTTCAGAGTCTCTACCCTTGTCCAGCGGAGTTCCACAAGGTTCCTCCTTATCTCCCATCATCTTTTCCATCTATATCAATGACCTCCCATCCTCTACTCTGCCTTTTCAATACCAACTACTGTTTGTCAATGGCATTAAAATTTATCTTCCCGTTGATCTGGCTGAATCCTCTAATGCTTTATTTAAACTGCAGGATGGCATCAATAGAACATGCTCTTGAGCTTATCTCAAAAAGCTCTCTTTAAATGCCAAGAAAACAAGAGCCATCGAATCCCCCTCACTCCTCAAATCCACTACCATACCTCCCAATCTCCTGAACAAATCATCTATCTCCTTCCATACTGTCGTTAAAAACCTGGTTGTTATCATTGATCAAATCCTTTCCTGGAAACCACGCATCTCCCAAATTCCCCGTTGAACTATTTCCACCCTGAAAATGTTCAACCATCTACACTATCTCCTTCCATTCAGAACCCGTCAACTCCTTGCTTCCTGCTGTGTGGTGTATGGCGGACTCTTGGGAGAACTTGAAGCAAAACTTAAATGTCTAGTGAATTACTCAATATGCTTTATTTACGGGACCTCAAGAGATACACATATTACGCAGTATTACACTGAGTTGAAGTGGCTCCATCTATCCTACAGCCATCAATATTTCCTTGCTACCTTCCTATACCAGGTTATTAGATCTCAGCGACCCTCATATATTCTACTCCATTCAATCCCATCCTACCAGATCCCATACGTCCGACCTCTATTATTCTCCTCCTCACCGCGCTGCTACGTCTGAGAAATCCTTTGTAATTCAAGCCATCTCCCTCTGGAATTCTATTCCTCCTAATATTTGAACTCAAAGTCAGTCTCCTCTTTATGCACCTATTCCATTACCAATCCACTGCATAATGAAATGCACTATGAATTAAGGCTCTCCAGATACTATTTATTTATTTTATTTTAATTTTCTATGTTAATTTTATATTTATTTATGTATATATATATATATATATATATATATATATATATATATATATATTTTATTCCTCGTTATTACCTGTATTTTCACTTATAATACCAATTATTTTTAAATATTTAATTTAAGTTATGGAGACACTATTATGTTTATTTTTATAATTTGTTCTAAAGGGACACTAGTCCCAGAATAATAAAGGTATTTTCATTTTATTTCAATGGCTCTCTAGGGTAGAAGCGAATACAAATGAAAAAACATTCATTTTTTTTAAAACTTCATGAAAGAACTAAACTGAGTCTATAATGTAGTATGAGTTGTTAGATCGTATCTCACATTTATTTCTATATTTAAATTACTGTTGGTATTATTCATTCTTATATGTTTAAAATCTTCCACTGTCTCAGTAAAGAAACTATCTACAATTAGGGTATCATCTCTGTTCAAAAGACCAAGTTTGCATGCTTTAATGTGGTAGTGCTTACAACTAGAAGAATGAAAGATGGACTATCATGGGAGAAAGTGATTCAACACAGCTAAATAGAATTATTTGCATAAATAATTTTTATAAACATGCTTAGCTCTTATTTTAGTTGGGAATATAGTTGTTGTTAATTGTTTTATTTTAAAACTATCTATCAAAAACATATTAATTATTAACAACTCTATTCAAAGATTCTTTGTAGGTATAATTTAAAATAATACTTATTTGGACCTTACATGTAAGCTTCTTTCTTTCTGTAGCCCCTGCACTAGTTTAATGACGTTCTGATCAAATGATATGCTAAATTTTTGAAGAAAAAAAAATATATTTATGAAATCTCTTAAAACCAACATAAATCTACTGAATATAGTTAATAATTTTCAATAATAATTAATATTTATTTACTCATCAGAGTGAGCTATTTTTTTAGCTTCATCCAATGATTTCTTAACATCATCAACATTTTGTTTTAAAGAAAGATTTTCCTTTTTCCACTCCACTTCTTTTTCGCAATATTTCTCCAGCCTGCAGTTGGAAGCATTTAAATAACCTAAAATAAAAATGATAAAATATACTAATATTTAGACTATAGCCACCAATCATTATATAATTAAATATATTATTTTTTGTTTATAAATAAAAATAATAGAAAAATTTACAGCTTAAGAAATATTAGAACATATATAAAACAAGAAAAAAACACTGAAGTACCAAAAATTAGGTTCAATCTTTTAATATTTTAAGGGGGAATAAAGAATTTTAATTAAATAAATTAAACCATGTACTTGCCTTTTGTGATTTTATATAGCATGTCATATGACAAACTTACGTCATGAAGTAATTTTTGGCAAAAGTGACGAAGTTATTAAATTGCACCTGGAAAATCCAGTCACTGGGCACATAATTAGACTGTGAGGAAAATTTTTATGCAAAGTAATATCTTTCATATTTAAAATTAAATAGAACTCGATGGTCTTTTTTGACACATAAGGGTTAATTAAACACTGCTTTAAATTAATTAAAACTTACTGTAAATCAACCAGAAATAATTTGATCGATAGTTGTTCTCAGATTATATTCATACCAGTATCTTCTCATTTGTATAATTTAAGCAGTTATATTTTAGTTAATCATAAAATATAACGAGATCAACATATAAATCAGAGCTTATTCTTCTTAAATATGTTCTATTTATATTGTCTTTAATATGAGGGTAATTTATGAAAATCTAATCATTTATATATAAATGATAACTTTTTTGTTAGAACTTCATTTATTAATTTTAGATATCTCTACTTTATGACCATAATTATGATCATAGTTTCATCTTAATTAGAAGCTAACACATTAATGTGTAATGCCTCACATATAAAAGAGCTATTATATTAGCAACTATATATAAAATATATAAGCAACATTTCTAATGTAATGTGTTTAATTGAAGCGATCCCTTAGTGCTTTTCTTATTGATTAATTTTTTACCTTTATATAAACAAGGAATTAATATACACTAAAATGCATACAAAAAAAGCAGATCCATTTCAATTGATTTGTGCATTAATGAATTATTATAATTATTTGTATATGAATTAATTCCTCAAAAGATAGAATTTAAACTTTCTTTATTCTGGAAACTTCAAATGTTATTGAACGATTTAAAGTCTGCTTCCCTCTTAGTGTTTAAAAAAGTATGAACATTATTTCAGTTGCACTAATAGTTTTAATTTATAAGCCAATTCTATTATATATGTATATATATGTATATATATATATATATATATATATATATATATATATATATATATATATATATATATATATATATTTTAATTTGAATTCTTTTGGAAAACTGGAAAACCAGATACCTAAATTAATGAAATATAAAATTACATTTTCTAAAATTATAAATCAGTTATAAATAAAAACAATAAATTATAAAAGTTTTAGTTGAGTTTTAATTTTTAAAACTTGTATTGAATTTTAATTTTAAAACTAAGGTAACTAGAAACTAAAATTTAAAAAACCCATTTAAATAGTATATACAATATTTCAGTTATATTAATAAGGTTTTAATATATATGCCAATTTTATTTCATATATATATATATATATATATATATTTATTAATTGGAATAATTTTGGAAAACCAGATACCTAAATTAATGAAAGGTAAAAACCGAAAAAGAAAAATACTAAATACTTCATATTTAGTTATAATTTAAAAACTAAGGTAGTTTAATAATACTGATCAAGTGGAAAATGGCAACTTAAACTAACAACAAAAAATATATGTAGCTTACCTTCTAAGTTATAAATATTTGTTGTCAATTCTTCCAACTCTTTTAAATTGGTTTCAGTTTTTTTGCAAATATTTTTGTACTCTACTTCCAATGTTTGCACTAAAGAATGCTATAGACACATAAAAATAATAATTTATTGCACAAATAAATAGAATTGCTTTGTTATTATAATCTTTAGACTTTCCTCAATACACCTAAGTAAATCATATACCTATTGAATAATATAAAATATGTAAACAAAATTTCTCCAGGAACTTTTTTTTTTAGTTTATTTATTCATCCACATCTGTATAATACAACATTGACAATCATTGGATTGCCTGTCATATCAGTAATACAATAATAATGGCATGTGAGGCATGAGGAAAAAATACTTAGTAGAATCACTTCCGTGGCATAATTTTAGTCAAGAATAAAATTAATTTACAGGTCTCTCGACCTTTTCAGCATCCTTCTCTAATGGATTCAGGATTTAATTTTGGGGGGACTTCAGCCCAAAAGATTTTTTTATTTATTTATATATTAGGATAATTACTTCGGAAGAAAGAAAGAAACTAACTACCTATATGAAATGATGTTTAAGTGATTCTTTAAGTCCTATTAAATGTAATTAGGCAAATAATAATACTTTTAGAGATAATTTTTTTCTTTAAACATGGTTATATTTTACCATTTTGGGGGAACTTCAGACCAAAAGCTCCTCCCCTGGTTCTGAGGGATGGAGAAAAATCTATCGGAAAGGCAAGATTGAAAGACTAGGTAGTACTCCCTATGAACTTAAAAGAAGAAATATATGATTTACTTGAAAATACAGAAATGATAGTTAAATATAAAGTAGGTTTAAATTAAAGTCCGTTAGACATATTGATAAAAAATTGATCAAAGAATGATATAAACTAGTACAAATAATTATCATTTCTTAATGAGACGTTACTAATAAGGTATAACAATTTTAAAAATAAATAAACACACATAAAAGTGTGGAATTGTGGTTATAAAATAAAATCACAAATAAATAGTAGATTACTAATTGAATTATTTTATAATGTCAAAAACATTTTTGTTACTAGTAAAATAAATATATTTTCAAATAAAAATATCACCCTTTTTATTTTAAGCTTGTGTTGAGTAAGTTTTTTTTTAAATTGTTAATTTTGAAAATCATTGTTGGTCAGATATTTACTTTACCAACCTCAATAATTTTAACATAAGGGTGTAACATAGATGGTTGAGTAAAGAAAAAATGTTTGAGAAGATATTAATGAAATGAAAAAAAAAAAGTATTACATCTATTTCTTTGTAAATGTCTAGAATTTTTAAGACAGTTCCATGTTTTTTTATTGGTAAATTAAAATGGTTGGGCTATTTATACATAAATTAACAAAGTAACCCATTATGAAATAGGATTATTTTGAAGAAGTAATTCAGATTAAAACATTTCGACAGTGAATCTGATCATTAGTGACCTTCATTTTGAATTACAGAACAAAAGAAGTTAGCATGTTAAATAGTATTGTTTTTTGAACATTTAAATTAAAGATACAACCTTCATCAGTATACTCTTCCCCATATCTTTTAATGCCCCTTGAATTGGATTTTCTTGTTGTTCCTCCATACTTCTATCAATATTTATTATTGTTTAATCAAATAATAATATTTTATAATCTAGAAACAATTAATAATATAAATATCTAAAATGCCCTAGAAGAGAGGTGATGCAACCATTTCAGTGCATTGTTGCCAACAGCTATAAATCAACCAACTTATAATGATAGTTGTATCTCTCATTTCTTTAGATTAACTTTGTAAGTATTAATAAAACATATTTGTCTAAACAAAAAATGTACAATATTCATGACAATTTATTTTCTAACAATCAGTTTTTTGTTTTTAAAAAAATCAAATACTTATCAGTTGGGCACAATTTGTGGGTTTGGTGGGTATCGTTTTATGAATTTTTACAAGGACGCTGAATCTATAATTTTCGATAGCGCAGGTGCATTTATTGGGAATATTTATTAGGTTTTCAGAGCTTTTATCAAAATCAATATATGATTTTGAATCCTGCATCCGTATTTCGATTTAATCTTACTATTGAAATTTTCTTTGATATTACGATCATCAACTTTTTTTAAATTTATTTTTTCTCTCACTTCCTAACTTACCATTATTAGTGTAGATGGGTCGGTAGAGGGTTACTCTTTGCGATCGACAATTGTTTTTTATTCCTGCCTTGCCATTTTGGCATACGGTGGTTATTCTAGAGTTACTATCAAATCTATTCTAACCAGAGTAGCAGGGCTGCCCATCCCTCCTCCCCCTCCCCAAGGTTGAAGGATGCAAGAACCTATCCCCCTCCTCCCAAAATATTTGGTTGCTCACCTTTTCTTAAAAACAGTGCAAGCTAAGGCAGAATTAGAAAAATCGTAGGTCATATACAGTAGCACTTGTTTTTCCCCTTGTCCCTTAGTTCGAAAATTCATATCCCCGTCAAAATATGCTCCCTCAACAATTTTTATTTTATGGCGCAACTTGCACCATGAAACCCCCTTCTGAGCACCCCTGAAGAGTAGGAAGATCAAGATTCATACCATAAGTCCACTAGCGGATCCAGGATTTAATTTTGGAGAGGCTTAAGCCCGAAAGCTTTTTTTTCATAAAAATAACAATAATTACTTTGGAAAAAAAAAAACAACGAAACTAACTACCTATATCAAATGGCGTTTAAGTGATTCCTTAAGTCCTTTTAAATGTAATTACACGAACAATAATACTTTAAGAGATAATTTTTTACTACTTTTTTCCATAAAACATGGTTATATTTTACAATTTTTTTGGAGGGGAAGGGGGCTTCAGCCCTAAAGCCCGTCCTCCCGTAGATCCGCTCGTGCATGGGTCTACTGTATATGAAATTTCAAACTGCACAGGCAGGATTAGAACCGGTACAACTCAACTCGAGAAAATTAATTTTTTTTTTCTGTTCTCTCCTTTCTCCTTTTTTCCGGGCCAGAGGGAGAGAAGACTGATGCTAGAGTTAAAAAACATTAGGGCACCGGATAATTATTTTTATCATCTTAAACTTCGATTATCAGTTTGTCGGGCAAAGCGCATACGCATCAGCCTGCTCGGCCATCTCGCCCCAAATGGGATTGTCATTTTTAATATTAATTCGAAAGCGTGTGCGAAATATAAAATACGACAGAAAATTTGGGTTCTCCGTCCTTCAAAACATAATGAGCGATCCTGATATCGACGAAAACTTCAATAATAACAGAAAATTGTAACGCGCATGCGCTGTGGAAAATCCGATATTAATTTTGGATTCAGCAACCTCGAAAAATAAAATCGTTTCTTACCGCTCAAAATGATGCTAAACCTGCTTAAATTCACTTTATATACGTTTGTCATCACAAAAAAGATTATTATCTTCCACGTAGGAATATAAGTTTTCTTGTTATTTATGAAAATATACTACAACTTACTGGTACTATTTCTGGTGGGAGGAAATAGTCTGGACAGGTTGTCCAATAATGGTCGTTTTTACCAATCCTTGATGGGGCTACCTTGAGCTTGCAGCCGCATACTTACCGGAGTGGGAATGTCACGATCCATTTCCCGGGACCGCCGAGAAATGAAAATTAACCAATAGGTGGGAATCAAACCCACAACGTTCAGTAAACCTGGCGCACTCAGAGACCCTCGCCCTCGCTATCCTGTCCTCAAATTACAACTTATAAATAAATCACTGTATTATGGAATCTTTGTTTTTCATATGAATAGGATGTCCTGGAAGTAAAGAGAAACGTTTAAAGGAATATTGACAGACCTCAGGAGCTACAATAAAGTTTAAATAATAACAAAGGTCCAATTTTTCGCAGAAAAGAAACAAATCTAAATTTTTTATTTTTTTAAGTAAGACATTTTTTTGTTGAATATAAAGCGATAAGTTAAAAAAAATAATCCAGTAAATTGACCGATGTTTCATTTACTTTAAATGCAGATAGAGTTAGCCTTTGATTAAACTATTTAAAGGGTTAGCGGTTAAGCTATGCTAAAGTTGATCACCCTAATCGACTGGTTACACCATTTTTAGAAAACTCCTCTGTTTAATAATTTGTCCATATAAATATACCAGCAGGGGGTTCTTCTACCGTATAAGCAGGGGGTTCTTCATTGAATTTAGAGGTCTGTAAAAACACTTGTGTCTACGATTTAAGATTTTACATTTTTGCACAAGTATTATTAAAAAAAAATAACTATTTTTAATAAATTATTTTGATTATTTTTTCTGAAAACACAGGTACTTTGTGGTGACAGCTTATCAAATCATATATATTTCTTTTTACCTAATTAAAGGTGAATCTCAACTTATTCCGTAACAAACCTCAACTTAAATAATATTAACATAAAGTTTATTAAACAAGCAAGTTTTTATTAAAGTGGGGTAAGTTGGAGGCTGATATTAAGAAAATCGTGAATAATCAACAATTTTATGAAAAACAGAACTTACCACAGTTTAGTCGCTTAAAAGTCCCTTTTAAATGCTTTAAAAATAAAAAACTCTACTTGCATTTAAAGAAAATTTTGTCTACCTGAGTATGAAGACGTTTTTAATAGATCAAAATTGTTTTTAGTTATTGCTTCGTATTCAACGAAAAATTTGACTTACTTAAAAAAATACAAATCTCTAATTTTCTGCTTAAAATCGAGACAGGGTATACATAAACTTTTTTGTAGCTCTTGAGGTCTACGCCCACCTCTGAGTATTTCTCTTTATTTTTATTTTCCTGTTTTTTTTTTTTCTCTGTTCTACTCTATCTCGCGTTTTAGGCTCTTCGAGATTTTCCCGGGCCGGAGGCTGAGGGCGGGGAATCTTTTAAATCCTCTCCGGCACTGATAAACGGCACGTTAACTGGTACTTATCATTTAACCACACCGCCCCTATTTACATAGGGGACATCAGTACATACGGGACATCTCTTATATATTATATATATAAAATATATAATATATGTATATACCCACACACATTGATGGATTTAAATGTGGCTTTAGTCCGAGGAACCTTCCCTCCCCTGCCACAAAAAATAAATGTTTCTGGGAGCGATCTGAGCTAAAGAACCAATCTTGTAAAAAAACATAGTAAAAGTTTATCTCTAAAAGCATAATTGTTCCCGTAATTATGATATAATAAAAATAAATATATGAGAAGGAGTTGATCGGGGAGGGGAAGGGAGGGGGTACGGTACAATAAATACTAAATTATAGAAATAGTATTATTTAATAATTATGCCGACGTTTCGACCCACCTCGCAGGTCTTCATCAGGGCTACAAAAGATACAAAATATAAATGATACATGGTGAAAATAAAATAAATGAATTATAAGTAGATATTAAATAAGAAAAGGTTGTCTGATAAAGAAATAATAAGACGATATCAGAGATATGTCCTCGAGGTATCAGAGATATCTTATTATTTCTTTATCAGATAATCTTTTCTTATTTAATATCTACTTATAATTCATTTATTTTATTTTCACCATGTATCTTTTATATTTTGTAGCCCTGATGAAGACCTGTAAGGTGGGTCGAAACGTCGGCATAATTATTAAATAATATTATTTCCAAAATTTAGTATTTATTGTGCCGCACCCCTCCTCCCCTCCCCCCCCCTCCCTGATCAACTCCTTCTCATATTATCACGGTCAACCATCTCTACATCATTAAAAATAAATAAAGTAATCCCCTCCTCCCAAAAAAAAAAATTAAATCCTGAATCTACTACTGTCATATACATACAAAGCACTAAGCCACTATTGGGGGTTGGGTGCAAAGGACGTTGAATCATGAGTGAAAACTGTGACGTTGCTGGGACTCCCCTCCACTGACAGTAACTGTGGCTGTAGTAATCAGTCGTGTGGAGTCCTCGAGACAGTTCGTAGTGTCAAGTTCGCATGTTCAGTCTTTGTCCGTGAGTGTCCGTCACGTTCAGTAGTATTGAGAGAATCCCTCAGCTTCTTCGTGCCAAGGAAAATCCTCTCTCTTGACAATGGTACGTTATATTTTTTATTTTTTTTTTTCCTTTTAATTATTCTCTTCGAATTGTCATGTATTATGTCTGATTTTCCAATGAATGGATTTTAGAAGAAAAATATGTAATTGTACATTAAATGAGATTTCAAATAGTTTGGTCTTAAATTTGTAGAGGCCTGATCGCTAATTGAAGTAATTGGTATTCATTGCATTATTATGTGTAGATTTGATTTAGTTTTATCTATTTTGAATTTTAGTCTCATCAGCACCATCATTGATAAAATCATAATATGAAATTAAAGTTCTCAGAAGTAATATTCTTTCTTCGAATTCTGTGATAAGACGTTACATCATTGTCAATCATCGTTGGAAACATGAGAACGGAATAGAAACAGTTTCATTCATTCTAAAATAAATAGAATTACCACATCCACTATATTTGCGTGAAGTTGACCATTGACTCTCGTCGCGTCAAATATCCTTCATATTTACCTTCACTGAATAATGATATATCTATCTCATCAGGTATTCCCCAACTTAATTACCTTTTACCTTATCACACAGCTGCTTCTGAAATATTT